TAAGATGCATATCTGAAAAAGTTCTCCCCAGGTCGGCCCCACAGCATCTCCGAAGTAAAGATGTACCATTTACCAAGTCAGCGCAAGTTTTCCTGGAAGAAGCGTGTGAGGCTCTAAGAAATGAAATCATTTTACATAGAGATGAATGCAAAGGTGTCGGTCTATCGCAGGCACACAAACAGGAACTAGACAAAATGAACATTGACCAGCAGGCTCGGTTACAACGGAAGCTGAATAATCTCTGTGACAAGAGCATGTGGGGTGAAGCCGTGAAAAATGAAATAGTTACGAATTTGTCGTCAAGAAACCTATCAGCGAGCGAAAAAGAAGCACTTTCATATGGTTTAAAGTTCGACTCGGGCAAAGACCAAGTATCATTAGTTGAACACGTTGCTAAAAATTACAAAAATAACGATACTAATGTTGACAAGGGCTTTGTTCAGGGAGTAGTGACATGTTGCAAGATTTTGGCTGACAAAGAGAACAGCAGCCTGCCAAGAAGATATCATGAGGCACTAGATTCACTAGCCAAGGACGATTCTATTATCATTACTTCAGCAGACAAAGGTGGGGGTATCATCGTCATGGACAAGAATGATTACTTAGAGAAAATGAATGAACTTTTGAAGGATAAGGTATATGAAAAGAAAAAGACAGGTTATGCAAAAGCTGAAGGAGAAAAATTCAATAAAGAGGCTCGAAAAATTCTTAAAAAGTCTGAACAAGGAAAACAACTACTTTACACATTGGAACAAGATCCTTTGCCACCTAAAATGAGAGGGCTCCCAAAGATTCACAAACAGGGCATACCGATGCGCCCTATTACGTCAGGCATTGCAAGTGCGCCCCATAGGTTAGCTAAGATACTAGCCAAACCGTTGACAATGACTCTGGGAAGCTTAAGTGACGCTCACTTAAGGAATTCAGGGGACCTCATTGAGCGGTTAAAACAAACGCAATTTAACGGGAAAAAACTAGCGAGCTTTGACGTCAAGGCGCTATTTACAAACGTCCCTATCGACGGCGCTATAAAGGCGATTGAAAAAGCGCTGAACGGCCTAACTGAAGATTCATTACCATTACCAAAAGAGGATTATCTGTCTTTAGTAAAGCTCTGCCTCAACTTTCATCCGTTCATCTTCAACAAAGAAGAATATGCACAAAACGAGGGGCTTGCCATGGGCTCACCTCTCAGCGCAGTGGCTGCGTGCCTATTTATGGAAATGTTAGAGGAGGAGGAATTCAGCAAGGTGATGGGAAATGATACAAAATGGTATCGTTATGTGGATGACATTTTGGTCATTGCGCCAGAGGAAATGGATCTAAACGTGAAGCTACAAGAGCTGAATCAAGTACATGGGAGCATTCAATTTACACTAGAAGAAGAAAGAGACCAAACACTTAACTTCTTAGACGTTAAGATTATCAGGGAAGATGTTAGTGTAAAGTTTGCGGTCTATAGAAAGCCAACAAGTAAGGAGGATTATATTCATTTTTATTCTGCACATAGCATGAGAACAAAGTCAGGGGTCGTCATTGGCTTTTTCCTGCGCGCATACCGTATTTGCAGCGAAGAGTACATCGCAGATGAGATCAAACACATTTTCGAGGCATTTGAACGGCTCAAATACCCAAGAGCTTTTCTCATTAGATGCAAGAACAGTGCCAAACGCATAAGAAAGAAGAAAGAACAAGCAAATACAAGAAACCAAAATGAAGAAAGACAGCAGAAAAGCAAACGAGTCATTGTTGTGCCACACTCTGAACAAGTGCAATGCTTAGCAAAAGGGTTAAAACAGGCAGATGTTAGGCTGATAGAAAAATCTGGAACAAAAATAGGTGACATGATTAAGGGAGGAACTGAAGGACAGCGAAGGGCGAACAGCGTAGTCTACCAAATTCCTTGTGGTGGCTGCCCAAAAGTATATATCGGTGAAACTTACAGAGGGCTCAAAACCAGAGTAACTGAACACAAGCGTGATTTGATAAATCATAATTTGTCTAACTCAATTACGTTACATGCCGAAACAGAGGGTCACCTACCTAAGTGGGATAAAGCCAGTGCGGTGAAATCAGGTCTGAAGAGATCGCACAGAAAAATCCTTGAGTCGGCATTAATTCAAAGTGTGTCATGTACGAACCATAAGGGGGGCTTTTACACCTTAGGAGGGGCGATTTGCGGTCTTGCATTCCAGAAGTATATAAAAACATTCTACTCGTGATATTGTGAGAAAAAATTGCAGAGTGTGTATTTGCGATGTGTTGTGAGCTTTTGTACCATTTTCTTTTTGTATTATGGGAAGCTAGCACTGAAGATGATATATTCGAAACGCGTTTGCGAAGGCTTTCTATAATACAGTACCTTTATATTTAAAAAAGTTTCACTTATCTAGTCATGGAGAAGTGTCCTTCCTCGCGCGGTGTTGGCGGACTCTGTCCCTCGGTGGTTGACGGAGGAGAGCTTGGCTCCTCGGTGGGTAATGGGAGTGAGTGAATCTCTTCGATGGCCCTACCGGGTGGGCGCAGCTGCACGGTGGGCGGTGCGTGCGAGTGCTGGACTCCGGCGGACACTGCGGGAGGACGAGTCTCCTCTGGGGCCGGCAGGGGGGCATGAGGAGGGGACGCTTGGTTCGCGCTTGGCTGGGCCGGATCCGTTTGGGTGCCAGTGGTGACCGTGGATGGCCGATCCTTGCCTGTAGGGGCTCGAGGGGTCGGGAGGCTCGGCCACACGTCCGGACTCCTGGTGGTGGGATTGTGAGTCTCAGCACGGAGGGCGGCAGCCATTTCCATCCAGACAGGACATTTTTTATCCGTCACAGGGTGTGGTCCCTGACATGCTGCACAGCGGGGCGGGGCGGTGCATCCTTCGGACGAGTGGTCCTCAGAGCAGCGTGCGCATCGAGTGCGGCTCCGACAGGTGTTTTTGCCATGTCCATACCTCAGGCACTGCCCACATCTGCGTGGTAGGGGGATACAAGGTCGTACCTCGTAACGTAGGAAGGCAGCGTAGAAGTGGGAGGGGAGGAGCATGGCAGCGAACCTGATTTTCAGCAGGGGACTCGGACGGTGGGTTTTTGATGGTAGTCGTGTAACCATGGTCACCCCTTGCATGACGCTTTCATCCAGGATAGCCTGAACTGACTCCTCCACAAGCTCAGGTGCATACACTAGCCCCTCCCGGTGGTTTAGCTTATCAGCTAGGATGACCTGGATTTTCTTTCCCTCAATGGAAGACCAATTCAGAAGTGTCTCTGTCTGGGTGCGGTCCCTTGTTTGGATCAAGAGTGCACCACTGCGGGTTGGGGTAACCTTCTCCGGCCGTTTAGACAGGATGAGTTTTAGAGAGTCCCTGATTTTGTAGGGGCTGGTGCTTTTGAAGCTGAGGGTTTTATCTTCATACCGCACCAGCAGAAATGCTGAACCCTCTGGCACAGTGGTCTGACTAGCTGAAGCTGTACTTCCAGCAGATCTGTTAGGATTGCCTGTTTTTGGTGGCATGTTTCCTCACTATGGGGTTTAAGCCAGGAGATGGAGCAATGTGATGGTGTGAGATACGAGATGAGATGTGGAACAGAGCAGTGAGCACAAGTACAAAATCAATGGAGCGAAGGCCGAAGAGGAAGGACAAAGATGAACCAGTTTGAAAAATTGACCAGCAGACTGAACCTAAGAGCAGGAGTAAGAAGAGCAAGAGCAAGAGATGATAAATTAACTGACCAAGAAAATGGTGCCAAAAACCACGAGGCAAGGAACTGGAACAGCCACAAACAGGCTGTTATCCTAAACCTGAGTCCGAGATGGAGTTGAAAACTCAGATGCAGTGGAAAAGTTAGGGAAAATGCCTTGAAGGTCCAGAAGTGAGAGATATGAAAAACGCTCTTTTTCCAAACGTGAGCGTTATCTTACCGTTGCTAGCCGAAAGGAATTTTCTAGAAGCCGAAACGCCGAGGGAAAGATCAGTGCTTTTTAAATACGGGGCCAGTCCTGGAACGCTCACAAACGCGCGGGCAGCCCTCTTTTTATCGCAGGAGCGATAAAAGGCAAGCGCAAAATGCAAAATGCAAAATGCAAAGGAAAAACTATCTAATCGCAAAAAGACCACACGACGCTACCAGCGATGCACATAACACAAATGTACATCAATGCGTAAATTTATCCCGCGTTCGATGTCTCTCGGACGACGAAGATTCTACGCCGTCCGTCCAATCCCGTCCAAGGTCAGCGGGGGCTCGGCTGCGGTTATGGAACGTGATTGGCCGGACGGCGTAGAATCTTCGTCGTCCGAGAGACATCGAACGCGGGGTAATTCATAATTGTAGCTGAGTAGGTCGTACACAAAATTCAATTGTGAGTAAAATCAAGGTAGGTATTGCTATATAAGAACATTGAGAAAAATATTCCTGGCTGAGTAGCAGGATCAGCTATTTTTAACTTCTCAGGTGGTGATTGGGGGATCTATTTTTAATGCTGGTGGCAAAATAGGATCAACATTTAAGCATATGTTTGAGACTGATTTCCTCGCTTTAAAAGCATTTTGATTTTATTTTTACTAGTGTATGATAATAGTTGATGAATTCTCTTTCTCTTGATACCATTCACTGGTCACAGAAGTGTTGCCTTGCTGCGTAAGGGCTGATAAAAGATCACACTTTTGGGGTATTTCTGCAACTTGGAGCAGGATCATTAAAGGGACCCTCCCACCTTCAAAAAAGTTTATGAATTGGCATGAAAGTGATGTCGCTCGGTTCAGAAAGAGCGAAAACGAATATCTACCAAATTTCACCGAAAAATATTCACCGGTTGTTTTCAAGATATTTGACTTTTACTTTTGTTTACTTTTTTTGGGATCTCCGCTGTTTCTAGCGACTTTATTTTAGAAGTGCGGCGTTTGCGGCAGATGTTGCGCGCAAATAGCATATAGGTACCACCGCGTGCTACAAAACGTTTTAGTCAAACATTTAAAAATCGTTAGATATCTTCGCTGACGTCACACATTCAGAGGGGTATTCCTAAGCATTAGCCCCTCTGAATCAAAATGCTGCAATTTTGATATTCAATATTTCCAATTTAAGGCATTTCTCGGTGTTGTGAGTGCCGAAACCGGTAATTGTGAGCCAGGGACCCCATTTTGGCTATCTCAACTCAAATCTAATGTTAAGGTGGGAGGGTCCCTTTAACCCTATTAGTGGCAGGCTCCTGGCTACCCCCTATTAGTGGCAGGGGGGCTGTTTACGACCCCCCCCCCTTGATATCTCGAGATCTAACGGGCCGATTTTCAAAATTCAAACGGCATTCGATTTCGCTCAACGTGATCTACATTTCTAAAAGATAAAAATTAAAAAATGTCAATAGGGGGGGTAGAGGGGGGTAAAAACGGGCAAATTGCAGATACATTTTAGACTGTTTATCACGGCCAGGTTTCTGAACCAATCTTAACGCAACTTTTGCCGATCGAAAGAGAATGAACCAGGAATTCACATGGATCCCAAAAATATGCATTTTCAAAAATCATAGGCGGATACAGATCATTGAGATTGGGGGTACACAAAAAGTATAGTAAATAAGGTTTTTGTTGGTACTGTTTCTAAAAATGGTGGTAATGGTCTTGTTATGTTACAATTTTCTTATGATGAGAGAACGACTACAATTGTATTGGTCATGCATAGGCGGTGTCAGGGCACCTATGTTGGGAGGTAAAACATAACCCCCCTTTTTGGACGCCTGGATCCGCCTATTATAGCAAAAACGTGTCAAAAGAGGATGCACAATAACTTTGTATATGTTATCACATGATACCTTTCATTCACTGTTCGTAAAACTGGTGCAGCATCGTGATCTTCGCCCAAATGACTCGCTTCACGAATAGGACCCCCCAATTCCCAGTGCTCTGGAGCCGCCCCTGGTAAAGTTATGAACTTGAAATTTTCAGGGAATGTGCCCAATTTAGTTTTAGGAAAAGTCAGAAAATTTCAGCATCGTAGCTTCAGCGGTTTCGGAGATATTCCCGAAAAACCTGAGGGGTGGATAAAAACAACCCCCCCTGCCACTAATAGGGTTAAATTAAATAGAATGCTCTAATTCTAGCTTATTTCCTTGGTAAGTCGCCAACTGATTACCTGCTGCAGTGCTTAGGATCTGATAAGATTTTTTTTTCCAGACCTCAAAATCCCGTGAGGTCCCAGCCTTAATATTGATCTGTATCTCAAATACTGATTTCATGAGTGATTGCCTATGCTACTGAATATCTCAAGACCTAAGCACTTTGACTTAGCACAATGCATTTTAGTGGCCCTGTTTATCAGCATACTTGTTTCCGGCTTCTGCCATGTTCGAAATTTCCCATTACTAGAGTTTCATTGCCTCTTACTGGTGAGCAGCATGCTCTTCTCCAAAGGGAGGTGGAGAAGTGCCAGCTAGATGTCGGCAAACTGATTATACAGCCAGCAAACAGTGATCCCGGATTTTGCCACCAGAAATGTGATAATCTATCCAATTCCAGGCTGTCCATCCAGCTATGAAAGAGGTTTATGGTGTGCACCATGTGCAGTGAACAATGCATAGGTACCTATGGAGTGGATTGTGGCACAGTGTGGATTCTGTGTCTTTAGACACTTCTCACTGGCTAGTGCAGGCCACAGGGTTGTACTCTCACAGCATGCTGTGCTCAGCAAGGGTAAATCATGAAACCTGCTTGTGAAGTTTTTTAGACTTGCCCTTGCATAACTATTTTACTTGTTGCAATGTTTGCTCTATGAAGGGCATGTACGAATTTGGAGGCAATGGAATGAAGTGTTATTATTTATTAGTAACATACGTAACTTTCCATCATTTTCTACTTTGGTATTTGCTTATAAGGAGGCCATTTAAAAGTGTTGAACTGATTTATATTTAACTTATTTTCCCCACATAGGTAAATTGGGATTTCTAGTTTGCTTGAGGTGGACAGTTGCGCTGGGCTGTCACATCACGGATCCTGTGTCTGCCCGCAGTCTGAACCGGCCGCTGCTGGTACACAATGGACCTCTCCAGTCTGCTGCTGGACGAAGATGAGCCGGCCGAGGACATCGGGCTGCACCAGGCGGCCTACGCCGGGGACGCGGCCGAGCTGCGGCGGCTGCTGCAGCTGCCGCACTACCGGTCGGCCATCAACCGGCGGCTCCGGCTGCTGGGCGTCACGCCGCTCCGGCTGGCCGTCTCCGGTGGGTGCAGCGCGAGCTTGGAACGGTCACTAATGGGTGCAGCCGACCATGTGTCTGGTGGGTGTAGGACGGGCCTTGTGTCGCGTGGATGCAAACCTGCAGGAGAGTTCGGAGTGTCGGATGGGTGTAGGGCAGGCTCAGATTGTCGGGTGGGTGCGGGGTGAGCTCGTATTGTCTGAAATTCTCTTATTTTAATCCAGAATTCTCATTTTTAGTTTTGGTCCCGGAAAACAACATATGAGCACGGAGCAGCAACCGACCGGAGCCGGACTCACGAGCTAACAGCCGCAAAACCATTTATTGGGTTATATTCGATAAATTGACAAGTAATTGTTTTTATTGTAAAACCTTATGGGAAAGGCTTTGAAAATCTTAGTGCCAGAAAATATGATTGTTGGGGAGTATAAGTTCTTCTGGACTCATCTCCCTGGGACCCTTTTCCCTGGGAAAAGGGTCCCTGGGACACCCATCAATGACCCTTTTTCTGGTCCCTGATAGGTGTGTGTTTCTAACGCCCAGCGGCGTCGTCAGGCGCAGGGCAGACATTCTGCCTTTATTGAATGTTTGTTAGTAGGTATTCTGGAAGTTAAATTGTGATACCTGGGGCGTTGTGCTCTGGTGAGAATCTCCGTGCTGTCATTTCATGCGATACACGTCGTACTTTGTGCGCAGGCGACAGGCGACAGGTAACTCTCTCGGGTGTGTCTTTGCGCGCAGGCGACTCGCTCGAGTGCGTCTGCTGCCTGCTGGAGCACGGAGCTGAGGTGGATCTGACGGATATGAAGGGTCAGACCCCACTCTTTGTGGCCGTCAAGGACCAGCACCTCGAGTGCGCCAGGTACAGGGTGTTTCACAATAAACGTTACTTTTGATAAGCTTTTAAAATGACCTCAAGTATTCGTATGCCCATAAATTCTATATTCATTTTGTTGCAAATTCTTTCGGGTTTTTTATCCTTACAAAAACTATGACGAATCATCAACTGCATTCTTTATGTATGTGCAATGTCCACACCATCAAAACGGGTCAATTCGCTGTTAAGCTTCATGGTCCTTCACAATGAATGTTGCTTTTCAAACGACGATGTTTCAGTGACATGTATTACATATGGCTCATGAGTAGGTATTACCACATGAGACAGCAGAACAGTAGGACTGATGAACATATAACTTTCAGTTCAGCGCCCTTCACGGGTTCTCCACTATGCCACCCTTCCGTCTGACTTTTTCAACCAGATTTTCTGGGATCGCCGTCCGGCCAGGAGGCGGGGCTTGTCCCTTGTTTCCAGTCTTCTGGAACCTTTCTATCACCCGTTCGAAAGACATTTTTGACGGAATATCCTTCCTCCTATTTTAAAATAGCTACCGAAACTCCGTCGCACTGCGGTCAGACTTCGCAAAGCGCCGTAATGCATGACCACCCATACCGCCTCATCATCTGTACACGGCGAATTGACCCGTTTTGACGGTGTTGGCATTGCACGTCCATACAGATGGAACCGTTGACGGCTTGTAAAAAAATATAAGGACTAAAAACCGCAACAAATTTGCAACAAAATGCATATAAAATTTACGCGCTTACGAACAAGTAAGATCTTCATTTAAGCTTTTCAAAAGTAACGTTTATTGTGAAACACCCTGTAGGTAGGTCCACATCGCGGCTCTGCCGGTCACGATCACACCATCCGCTACCGTACAGAGCTTTATATTTTGTGGTATATCTACAGATTCTTGTATTCCAACTGGATTTATATTATTGAACTCACTCAATGATAACGCAGATTCCCTCGTTTTTTCCAGCTGATATTGCTAAAGAACTGATGAACCTACATATCGGGAATTGTCCTCCTGCCGATGAGCCGTGTGACGGCCAGTTCACCACGTGTGCTCTCGCAGACTGCTACTGCGGCGTGGCGCCAGTCCGGACGGCTCGGCCGACAACCTGTCCACGCCGCTGGGCCAGTGCTGCCAGTCCGGCTGGCTGCCGGGCGTGCAGCTGCTGCTGGCCGTCGGCGCGGACCCGGAGCGCGGCCTGCTGCGCGGCGGCCCGGTGCCGGCGCTGCCGCTGCACACGGCCGCCGTCTACCACCACCTGGACTGCTTTCTGGCCCTGCTGCTGGCCGGCAGCCAGGCCGACCCGGCACGGCGCCCGCGTGTGCCCGCCGACGCCGTCAGCAGGGTGTCGCTGCCGCACGCGCTGCTCAGACACAGGTCAGTCGCCGGCACGCTCTCGAGGGCGATGAGTGTGACCCATGGACGGCCAGTTGAACTTGCTAGTCCTCGGCTAACGTGACCCTTGTATTGCAGACATTGTTAGCACCATGCAGGAAATATGGCGGTATGATTTCTATGGTGGTCAGTTTTCAATCTTTCCACTGGATCATTGAGTAGCCATTTCATTAATTCAAGCATCATCTTTGTTTGATCTAATGCTTAGCTGTTGCTAGTGACTGGAACCAATGCCCTCAGTCCGCTGCGTTTTTCGATCTGATTGCCCCACTTCCTGTGTTTTTCGATCCAATGGCCAGCCCAGTGTTTATCGATCCGCTGACTTCACCCTGTTCTCTCTCCGACAGGGGTTCCGTGGAGTTTATCGAGCCGCTAAGCCCGGTCTGTTGTGCCTCTCTCCGGCAGGTGTTCTGTGGAGTTTATCGAGCTTCTGTACGAGTTTGGCGGTAACCTGTGGCAGCTCAACAGTCGCGGTCTGCTCGCCTGGGAGGCCGAGCCAGACAGTCTGCTCGTCAAACCGCTCAAACAGCTTGCAGGTAGGGTACACGAGCCGATCTCTGTTGTATTACAAACCCTTCCCGGAGTTTAACCCGCGCCCCACTGGGGGTGGGGGGTGGGGAGGGGCTATTCATAGCCCCCCTCCCGTTTTCGGCCGATTTCGACGCAAAACATTGAACCACGGCAATCGCTCCCAAGACCTCAGTTTTTGAGCTAGATCCAATTTCTTTGCATGAGAGGACTCAGAATAGACTGCACTATCAAACTTCTATCTCGGATTTTCAAATTTTTGAAAATTTTGAAAATAATATTTAATAAAATTCAAAATTCATGTTTATATTTTCTTTAAAAAAAATTGACTTTTCGAGAAAAAAAAAACGAAAAATATGTGATAAACACATGCTTATGATTTACTCTAGCAAGTTTTACCTAAACTCTGCAAAAATAGCCAAGTTATACGCATTATTGCAAAAAATTCACAATTATAAATTTTTCAAGTCAATTTTTCAGTACGTAATTGACATCGTAGGGGAGAGCGGGGCCAGTTGAAACACGGGGTCAGATGAAACATGGCTTTATTTTCAACAGTATGCAACATATGGCGTTGCCGACACCACTGCGCATCCGCGCTCGACCACTTCCTTTGTCAACGGCGTTTGGGCGGCAAAAAGACGGTAATTTTGATTTGACACTTGTTTTTGTGGTTTTGAGGGGCGTTTGGGAGAAATCGTTTTTATGAATATTTTGTGATATCTCATATACCTTTGTTTGCTGAAAGAAGAACTCCTGGCTCCGGAATAACACCTTATTTGGCCCTTCATTCAGCATGATGCCGTCCCTCCAGCTCGTTTGACATGTGCTTTACGGCGCGTGCGAGATGGCGGGAGCGGATGGGGTCAATTGAAACGCTTCTCTGAGGGTCAGTTGAAACAGGGCCACAGGCCGTTTCAATGGACCCCGGTGACCTTTGCAATGGTTATTGTTCAGGGGCTGTAAACATTAAAGGAAATAGTCCACCTTTGAAATGAGCTTTTAAACTGAACTAGTAGTTTAATAGAGCTCAATTTTTGACCCCTTTTTCTCCAGCCTTTTGCTTGAAAACACACTATAGCCTGAGATATTTCTCATTTTCCTCATCCGCCCATTTTACCATAGTCTATGTTCTTTATGTCACCTATTATGAGGAACTTTGCACTTTTAGCTTTCCAACGACCTATTGAATGCAGCATTTGGAAAAGTAAACCGGACAAAATATCTCCTTAAGAAAGTGGCCTTAAAGAGGAAAACATCCCGTTGTTAAGGATAGGTGCAATTGACCCCATGGGCTGGTTCAATTGACCCTCGCATCGGGGTCATTTGAAACGGGCGTAGAGCTGTTTTATAAGCATGCGTTTGGCAGCAAAATATGTTTGAAACATAATTTTACATATCTTAAAATAAAGCCAAAAGAGCATATTTTTTCATGGCATTGTGCATTTTTCGATATGACAACTAGATCTCTCTGTGCATGTCAATATATAAAAAGTGGTTCAACTGGCCCTGCTCTCCCCTACACCAATATAAATAGCACCATCGTGTTCCTGAGCTCAAACTGCATCCAATAGACACCTTTTTTGTTGAAAAAAATTAACTTCAAAATTTGACCTTTTTTACCTGAAAGTGACCTGACCTAAGCTAAATTCAACTCAAAATGACCTCGAATGACACAAACGACATCGAATTCGAAATCTATGGCCTAAATGGACCATAAAACATGCGTCACATGACCGACGCATGATATAATATTTCCGTGACTTGTGAAGACCTGACCCTGACCTGAAAATCAAAGTACAAGTTTGGTACCCTCAGGGTATCTAAAGCACCTGTTCACGAGTGTGTAAACCAAAAATGAGCCTGATCTGACTTGTAAGACGGCGGCCAGAGCCCAAAATGTGAACAAGCCAAAATGCTGATAATGAAGAGCCCCCCCCCCCCCCCCCCAGTGGGGCGCGTTATACGCAGACCCCAGTGGGGTGCGGGTTAAAGGATGCTAGCTCAGGCTATTTGTCACTCTAATATGGCACCTACCCTTGCTATTTGATGTTTAAGACATGTTACGACGTTACTTTTCTGGCTACAGTCCGTTAAACTGGCCTTGTTTACTGTCAGTTGTAGGCCCCATGCGCCCCGTTCCCACTGTGTGCTGCCACTGCCAAGCGCCGGTCGTCGGGTACCGGTCCCTGACCCTCCCCTCTGCTCGGTCCTCAGGCACGCCACACTCGCTGCAGAACCTGTGCCGACTGCGCGTGCGCCGCTGGCTGGGCCGGCGCCGGCTGCCGCTGCTGGCCCGCCTGCCGCTGCCGCCGGCAGTCATCAGCTACCTCATCTACTCGGACACTATCCGACTCGTCAAGTTTGGCACCTTCCGCTTCAGCTAGGTGACGGCCCTGCCGCCGTCGGGCGAACGTCTGCAGAAAACTTCCTCCTGTGGTGTGACAATAGACTGTGTGGGAATGTGCAATGCTGATAGCTGCGCGGTGGAACCGCTAGTCATGATTTGCCGCGCAGTCTGACGCGCTGAAGACTAGTGCCGAGATCTGAATATTGGTAAAGACGCAGCGTGCGTTCTAGCGTGCCGTGGTGTGTGGCTCTGTCGTTGGATTTGCAGTGTCTCGGCTCTGTTACAGGCTGATTTGTGTTGCTGTGTTGAGACGCCGAGTGATGTACATTGCGACACACCTTGAACCGCTTTTGGCCCAGCCGAGTTTGCCGGCGATTGTGGCTGTCTGGTGACTACAGGAATGTCCCATAGCCCCAATGAAACTTTGACCCAGCTGATATCCGTGCCTTCCAATCCCAAGAAGTTTTAATCACTGCTCGTGGTTTTATAACTACAATTGAGAGCTATTACCATAGACTGAATTGTGCTATATTGAGCTACCATTGCCGTCTTCCTGCAACGACTTTATGGAAAATACTTTATGCTTCAGGATTTTCTCGATCTACGTGTTATCGGGATAGCCAGTCTTTCATCGGTCAACTGTTGATTGTTGTTGAGATTTTGCGACATATTTGAATTCAGCAGCTGAGATAGAATAGAGCGAAAAGGTGCGAAGCCTTTATGCGTAGCATTTATTGCAAAGTTTGTGAGGGGTTGAGCGTGCAAGCACCCTGTTATAGGAAGCGTTTGGTACCCGAATTAACCTGAAGCTTGTTATTTAGACCAGTTTAATGGCCAGTAGTTATGACTAAGCGGAGAGCTGTTGTTGAGCGAACTGTTATCGGAGTTGAAATGTTGCCAACAGATAGTCCCACTAGAGTCGATTGTTTTGTGATTCACAGTGTAGGTACGGCTCGTCCCCGATATGGATGCTGCTCGAAACTTTACAGTGATTTATAAACTTCATTGCTGTCTAAACTTCAGTGCATCTTTATTTTATTTTGAATATCGTTTTTGATGCCACCACCTAGGGTTCCCGTACGTGGGTGTTACCGTGCCCTCTTTTTCCGGCCTGTTATTCCATACCGTTCTCGCTCCTGTTTTGCGAGCCTGCCCGTCTGCTGGTTACATGCCCTGCCACAGACTGATCTGGAGTGAATTGTGTGCCCTGCTTACGTCGGAAAATAATGGTGGTGCTCTAGCTATCACCCCAGTCATGTATTGTTCGTGTGACGGAAAATACATTGGCTGATGGACAGCTAGAGGAAGCTTATTTGGACAGAATATGGCTGTGGAGCTGCTGAGGTGTTGGTGGATTGCGAACAGCTGCGTGTCTATGCAAAGAGGAATAATGTGGTGGGGCGAATAGGGACGGATTGTCAATTTTCATCTCAGCTATCGCCTATCAGTAACACGGGCTTGAAACAATCTCGGTGCGGTAAATTATGACTTATTATCGTATCCATTGCTGCTCAGCTTTCGATATATCTGGCGCACGCTTTGTTATATCTGGCGCACGCTTTGTTGTCGCTGAAAAAAAACTTTCCAGTTGAACGTTCGTCACAAGAAGTAGGTACCTTTAGCGTGAGCCGTGACGTTTGATTACGACCAACACCGTTGGACGGCAGACGATTGAAGTGATGCCCCAATCGTTGATTGATGTGGCACTAAGAAATCATCGGGATTCCGTGTTCCGTCGTGTGCACAATCTGACGGACAACGTTTCTGGGATGTGTGTCGGGCGTGTGACCGACCATTCAGCCAGCAGAATCTGAGCTGAGGACACGGGCCAGATCTTCAAGCAGGCATTCGAGCAAGTCGGTCTGCATTATACAGTACACATAAAGCTTGTTATCAAGTGCCCACTGCCAGTCCCAATTGAGGTTGGTATTTTGCCCTTTCATAAAGAGAGGCTGAGCGAGTCAGACGGCGCCGATGACGCCGATGCCAGAGAGCGGGGCAGTCGCGCCAGGTGTCGCTGCCGTCGCCGACTCCGGGCTGGAGCTGGGACGGTACCGGTGTCAGGGGCCGCAGGGTCGGCGGCAACTGGCGGCGTCAGAAGCGCTCCTGCCGGCCCCGTAGACGGTGTGGTGACGGCGATGCTCGGGAGACGGACAGCGACGACGGACGGCATGTCGGTAAAGGTGAGGGACCTGCACGCTGGATGCTGCAGCTGACCGCTGAACAGAAACGTCGTTTTTTTTTTATCCTTCCAGTTATTTCGCCGTGTTTGGTAGATATCTGACCTGTTTTAATGCTTACTTGTTTTGCATGTTCGTTTTCATTATTTTTTTGGGAAGCTTGAGAACATCTATGGTTTCCCGGTTGATTCCTCTAGGTATAATTCAAAACCACCCGTAATTATATTTAACCCGCGCCCTGCTGGGGAGGGGGATTTGAACACCCTCCTTGTGGTTTTTCGCGAATATCTAAAAAAGGCGGCGGCGCTCCGCGCCGCCGTTTTTGGTACACCTTATCATACATCAATTCTACACATGGTGTGAAAATTTCAGACCAAGGTCATTCAACGTCAGGTCACCAGGTCACTTGAAGTGACCTCACCTCATAAAAAGTTTCAATGTCTGTCATAGCTACACCGAGTGACAGATCGCTTTGAAACTTTCAGTGATTGCTAAGAGCAATAGCATGTACAAAATGTTAATCTCAGAATTTTGATATCGATGACCTAAGGTCAGGTCAATTTTGCGACCTCCCCATTAGGTATAAGTCAATGGGAGAAAATTGAAATGCGTCTCTTTCGGACGAAAGGCATTATAAACACTCCCAAACACTGAATTACAAGTGGTTTAGACACACTGAACATGAAAATGGTGTCCGTGACCCCTGTTTATGCCCTGAGGTCATCTTAGGTCACGAATGGTATCTAACAGTTTTTCGGAAATAACTTTTGATAGAGGCATGCTAGAGCGATGAAAACGCCTTAGATGTGTTCAGCTCGACGATACGGATCGACTGATATGCAACATGACCCTTTCCGGTCAGGTCATGACCTTGACCTGAGGTCAAATTTCCAAGTTGACCTTTCAAGGTCAAGTTATAGTTCATTCGATGCGTCTTGACGAGAGGAACACGATGCCGGTAAAAGTAAGCTCGTACAAGGCTTGGGTCAAAAGTTATTGCAGAAAAACTGTTTCCGAAAAAAATCGGCTATTTTTGCAGTTTTTGCCCCCTGCAGGCAAAACCGTTGACGTTAGGTCAAATCTGAGAAAATTATTCAGAAAGGGCGTTAACCCTATTAGTGGCAGGGGTGTTGTTTTCATCCACCCCTCAGGTTTTTCGGAAATTTCTCCGAAACCGCTGAAGCTACGATGCTGAAATTTTCTGACTTTTCCTAAAACTAAATTGGGCACATTCCCTGAAAATTTCAAGTTCGTAACTTTACCAGGGGCGGCTCCAGAGCACTGGGAATTGGGGGGGTCCTATTCGTGAAGCGAGTCATTTGGGCGAAGATCACGATGCTGATGTATTATAACTGTATGCACCAGTTTTACGAACAGTGAATGAAAGGTATCATGTGATAACATATACAAAGTTATTGTGCATCCTCTTTTGACACGTTTTTGCTATAATAGGCGGATCCAGGCGTCCAAAAAGGGGGGGTTATGTTTTACCTCCCAACATACAGGGTGTTTCACAATAAACGTTACTTTTGATAAGCTTTTAAAATGACCTCAACTATTCGTATGCCCATAAATTCTATATTCATTTTGTTGCAAATTCTTTCGGGTTTTTTATCCTTATAAAAACTACATCAACTGCATTCTTTATGTACGTGCAATGTCCACACCATCAAAACGGGTCCATTCGCTGTTAAGCTTCAGGGTCCTTCACAATGAATGTTGCTTTTCAAACGACGATGTTTCAGTGACATGTATTACATATGGCTCATGAGTAGTACCACATGAGACAGCAGAAAAGAAGGACTGATGAAGATATAACTTTCAGTTCAGCACCCTTCACGGGTTCTCCACTACGCCACCCTTCCGTCTGACTTTTTCAACCAGATTTTCTGGGATCGCCGTCCGGCCAGGAGGCGGGGCTGGTCTCGTGTTTCCAGTCTTCTGGAACCTTTCTACCACCCGTTTGAAAGACATTTTTGACGGAATATCCTTCCTCCTTTTAAAATGGCTACCGAAACTCCGTCGCACTACGGTCAGACTCCGCAAAGCGCCGTAATGCATGACCACCCATACCGCCTCATCATCTGTACACGGCGAATTGACCCGTTTTGACGGTGTTGGCATTGTACGCCCATACAGATGGAACCGTTGACGGTTTGTAAAAAAAAAATATAAGCACTAAAAACCGCAACAAATTTGCAGCAAAATGCATATAAAATTTACGCGCTTACGAACAAGTAAGATCCTCATTTAAGCTATTCAAAGGTAACATTTATTGTGAAACACCCTGTAGGTGCCCTGACACCACCTATGCATGACCAATACAATTGTAGTCGTTCTCTCATAAGAAAATTGTAACATAACAAGACCATTGCCACCCTTTTTAGAAACAGTAGGTACCAACAAAAACCTTATTTACTACCTATACCTACTTTTTGTGTACCCCCAATCTCAATGATCTGTATCCGCCTATGATTTTTGAAAATGCCCTATTTTTAGGATCCATGTGAATTCCTTGTTCATTCTCTATCGATCGGCAAAAGTTGCGTTAACCCTAGAACGCCTAGGGGGGGGGGGGTTGTATCAACCCCCCCCCCTGAGGTTTTTTCGAAGTGCACGCTAAACGGCTTGTCGTAGCGGGCTGAAATTTTTAATACCCTCTGGGGCAACCTTTGCGCATCTTTTGCCGAAAAAAAATTGATCGGGTCATGTCAGGTCACGGAGTTATGACGTCATAAGAGGTACAGCCTCCGGCCGACAGTTACCAAACGTGTGCGCCGAATCCCTAGGTTTTCTGCCGGTGATACCCACATTGTTTGATGGATCATGATGAAACTTCCCATGCATGTTGGGGCAAGCATTGGCTATCGTGTGGTGCAAGAAAATTGACCGGGTCAGGTCAGGTCACGGAGTTATGACGTCATAAGAGGAACAGCGTCCGGTACTACTTTTGAAAAGCGCCCGAACCACTATTTTGCTAATTCTTGTCACCTCAATGGGAATATGCAGCAATATTAGCTTCTATAGGGAGCAAATGGACCTCCCAAATCCGAAAATACAATCAGATTTCAAAAATTTAAATTTTGATTTTTCGAATTTCTGCCGCCGACTGTGACCTTGCCGACTTCCGGCGCTCCCAACGCGCCATTTTTAGAGCTAGGGAAACGAAATACATACCAAACGATAGAGAATTGATCAAGGAACACGATAGTGAAGGTTTCAAGTCGATATCTCTCACCGTTTTGCCGCAATCGCCGCGGAAAGTTGAAAAAAGTCTATTTTTCCGAAAATTTGACCTTTGACCGGTCAAAAGTAGGTCAAATGTTGACCTAGGACCAAAAAATATACCACCAATCGCGAGATCTCGTTGAGAGCAATCCGTTGGTTTTTTCCGCTAAGCTCTATGACCTTCCGTTTCGAAACGCCAGGGGGGGGGGGTCGTAACAACCCCCCCCCCCCCTGGTCGTTCGTGTTATGAGAAATGGCCTGGTCGTGCGAGGGTTAAGATTGGTTCAGAAACCTGGCCGTGATAAACAGTCTAAAATGTATCTGCAATTTGCCCGTTTTTACCCCCTCTCTCTATTGACATTTTTTAATTTTTATTTTTTTAGAAATGTAGATCACGTTGAGCGAAATCGAATGCCGTTTGAATTTTGAAAATCGGCCCGTTAGATCTCGAGATATCAGGGGGGGGTCGTAAACAGCCCCCCCTGCCACTAATAGGGGTAGCCAGGAGCCTGCCACTAATAGGGTTAATAGGGCTATCGAATGCGCTTTTCCGCGGCGCTGTAGCTCTATTGGTTCCCGAGTTATGCGTTGGCTTCTTGGAAATTGTCGACATTCGACCTGGAAATCGGCGAAATTTTGCCTTCAATGACCTCTGGTGACCTGACCTTTGACCTGACCAAAAAATTGACCGAGGTGATTTCCTCAATATTTTTGACGCTCTTTCGAACGCCGCCTTCCGCGTATCGCTACGTGGCCCAGGAGCCGAGTTAGAAGGTGTTCAAACACCCCCCCCCCCAGCAGGGCGTGGAAATCCAGGACCCCCAGCCGGGCGCGGGTTAACGTACCTACAATAAATGGTCACTTAGCTTTCTGTCGATAACCGGCAATGACTCGGAACACCTCTCATTCAGACCTTTACCGACCGTCGAACGCGTCGAACTCGTGCTCGTGCACAACAGTGCTAATGTTTCGCTCCCATAGACAAATGGCGAATATAGGTACCTAACTGCTTTTATGATTGTATTGAACAACAATCTTTAAATATTTTACCGACTGATTGGATACAATACGATCCCACATCACCTCATTTGAATGGCCTTCGACCGATCACAGACGACGAGGAAGACGTTTCAGGTCGACTCCTACCTCGCCTATCGATGTGTTGATAAAGAGGTCGCACCTCCGAGTGAAGGAGGAGTCCTGAGCCACATTCAGCCGCTCCTCTCCCGTCCGCCGCCCATTAGTAATCTGCGTGGCACTGTGGGTCTGCCGCCTACCATACGCCCCCTCCCCTCCCTCTCAGAGCGTGGCTGGGGCGGAGACGGGGCGGGGAAGAGAGAACTGAGAAGACGGGTCCGGGGGGGGGGGGGGGGGCTTGGAGTTAGGACTTGGACGGAGAAGAGCCATCGGGAACGCAGTGCTGGGCAGGGGATACGCCTGGGAAGATGAAGGTCTGAGACGGCGGAGACGTCGAAGGTCTGAGGACATGACGTCGAGCCGGGGGAAATTGAGACAGGCCGGGGGAAATGAAGACAGAAGACGGTCCTCCGGCCGGGAGACAGATAGACCCAGACACGGAGATCAGAGACGAAATGGGAGACAGAGAGTCCCGGCGGGTGGCTCCTCACGCAGGTGGCCGTATAAGGTGAGGGAAAGTTGGAAATAGGCGACGGCCGAATCGGCGCTGAAACGGCCACTCACGTCAGCATCGGCGGACGACCGCGTTTCGACGAGGATTAGGAAAATGTAACAATCATCAAATAGAGGTGCGCACTGCATCAAATCTTCATTCAACTAATTTAATCCCAGGCTGTCCTCGCGGCTGTTCCCTCTGGACGATGATTCATTCTCTTTACCCCTTCCTCAGACCCAGCCCGTTCTTCACTGAACCCTTGTTCTTCTCTGTTCGCTACTGTTTCAGGGCCGCTCGGACCTACAATTCAACCGGGCCTTTTGACAGTCCAGTCCCACAGACCTCCTTTGCTAACCGCTGTTCTCCTCTATGCGCTACTGTTACAGGACAGCCGCTCGGACCTACAGCTTCACCGGGTCCGGGTCCACCAGGTTTGACAGCTCATTCTCTGTATTCTCAAACTCATCTCGTCCTTCACTGACCCGCTGTTGTTTCAGAAGGACACCCGCTCGGAGCTGCTGCTTCACCGGGCCGCCATCACCGGGGACGTCACGCGGTGTCAGACCGTGCTGGACGCCGGCCTCGTCCACGTCGATTGCGCCGACATGGTAGGTGAATTATCCATTTAAGCATGAAATTACCTGGGATTATTGTTTCAGCACATCATTTGTAGCCGTATACCTATTGTTTAAATTAATACCTACTTGGCCGCTAGCCTCGACCACGCTTCATGGTTTCTACTTTGGAGGCTGTCCCGGATGAATATTTTATGGGAGATTAGACACATTTGAATGCCATTGTTTTAACCCTCGCCGGACCTATTGGTTTTCTACATACCTACGCGCCGGCCGAGGGGGGGGGGGGGGGTACGAACCCCCCTCGCCGTTTCGCCCCTGGTGGAGCTAGCGCGTCGCGGAAAAAACGAGCGTGTGCGCCGTTACGAGAGGCAGAGATTGATACCCGATTTTAAGGTCCTAGGTCAACCGGTGACTTCTGAGGTCAGGTCAAGTGCCCCAAGGTACGGTTCCGTTTTTGGTGAATTACTTCGCAAAAAAGGGTCGCAGAGCCTCAATTTTGGCAGCATCGTGTTCGTCTCGCTCAGGCGCGTCGAATGATATGCTTCTTATTTGGGTGAGGTGAAGTTAGGTTGTTGACCTCAGGTCACGGTCAGGTCAGCACCCCCAGGTCACGAAATCGGTCGAAGTAGGTCATGTCTCATCATTCGATTCGGCAGGTCTTCCTGAGTTCATTAGTGGCTTTCCCGACTCGCCAGCTCAATTTGATCGGGAGTTCTTGACGGAAAACTAATAGGTATGACCCTAATGACGTCATAAATGACGTCACGCAAGGTCAACATTGCAAAAGTGACGCTTCTAACCTTGCAAGGAGTGCACCGAATCACGATTCTGTGTGCTTGAGATAGTTGGAGATCGTTCCCGCCGCCAGAATAGCAGTTTTCATTTTTCCCCATTGACTTATAATGGTGAGGTCACCAAAATGACCTGACCTCATATGACCTTTAGGAAAAATCCGAGATGTACAAGTTGTGAGACTAGTAATGGATATTAAATCCTTCAAGTTTCATTTCCCAGTGAAAGCTACTCTGGCAGTGAGGGCGTTGCGAAGTTGCGACATCTGAAGACCGTGCAGAGGTTCACTTATGACCTCATAGGTCAGTGACCTGACCTAACCCGAAAATGCGGTTGGTATCACGAGATCCGGCTTGAATTAAAGGTCAGGTATGCCAAGGTTCAGCTCTCTATCGCCAGCGTGTTCGGAGCTATCGTGAAAAACCCTATGGGGGGGGGGGCGGCACCCCCCTCGGCTGGCAAGAGTTAAGATTTCTCACACATTTTAAGAAATAAATAAAATACATTCCATAACGATGTGGGATTTCGGGCGGGGTCATTGAACGAGCTGTTAGTGTGCTGTTTGTACTGTGCTAGGCCGGCGGACTACGCATCCGCATGGTGTCCGAGGCGATCAGAGCCCGGAGAAGGCCCAGGGAAGGTCGGGAGCCGGGAGCCGGGAGCTGGGAGCCGCCGTGTGTGGTGGCCGTCACGGCTTCCGAGCGCCGTGGGAGCGGCCGACAGACTCCCACGGCCCCGAGCGGACGGACGTCTCAGCGCTCAGAGCAGTTCTGACTCTGAGCGACTCAGCTCAGATCGGCTCGGAGTCGGAGCGACTCAGCCGAGATCGGCGCATAGAGGCCCGAGAGAGACTCGGAACAACTCAGGACGATTTAGTGAACCGCGGTGGCCGGGATCCTGTCTTTATTGCGTATACGTTTATATGGTATTTTGACCGCCTGGGGGGGGGGGGGGGGGCATTGTACCAGGAAGGCGGGGCAAAATAGACGGAGAACAGCAGCGTTATAGAAAGCGTAGATTTTAGTGCATTGAGAGTTGATTGTGGAGCGGGCGGATGCCTTTCAGTGACATAACATGCAAACACATAAGCAGTCATAAGAAAAAAATAAGTCTTCCGACTGAAGAAGCTGTCAATGACACACATCCCATGTAACATTGGCGCACGACGATGACCTGAATACAGCATGACATTGCTTCCAAATATAGATTTTATACCAGTCATGCTGCTCATGCTGCATGGTTGTTGCGGCTGAAGAGCTCATTCCACCAGCTTCCCACCCTTCATAGCCGTGTGATTGGCGGTTCCGATTTTCCCTGGAGTGGTAACAGCCAACAGGGTCATCCGAGTAGCGGCTGTAATGTAAGAAACACGCGATACAAATAGCAAACGTCTGCCGCGGTACCGCGCCGTCTCCTTCGCTCGCTGCGGTAACCGCAAACTGGCACGTTTGAGCCCAACAGCGTCTCAGTAAGGCGCAGATAACTTAGCTGCTGCCGGAATACACGGTCACGGTTACGCTGTCTCGTCACACGGCAGCCGTTCATGCCCCGTGCGCCTTGCCTTGTGTATAAGTCGATGTCGGGTCAGTGAGACCGTCCATAGGGGTAGAATATCCGCCGAAGGTCCGTTCTCTGCCCATCGTTCATTCGTCCCTTCGCACCGGCACCTTTAGTTAATTTACTGGGCACCCGGTGGCACCATATGTCGATATAATGCACTTCCCAGCTTCCCTGGTAGCGGTAACGTTAAGCGCCTTGTCGTGCGTTTCCAGCTCGGCCCCACGCTGGGAGCTCGTCCGGGGCTGTTTTTGTTTTCTGCTCCTGTTTGTGCGCGGTGATAGCTGAGTTCCGGTGTGATGGCGGTGGTCGGTCGGCCGGCGGTGCCCGCGGGGCGTCCCAGCAGGTCCGCACGGCCCGCCTCAGACGACCGTGTGGGAACGGGCGGGCCTGCTGCGTGTCTCAGCCATCTGCTGTCCCGACCGGACCTCTGGTGTGCCGTCTTTTGTCATCCAGCTTGGTTTCATTTCTGGCTGTTGGCCTGCCCGTGGTGCCCACTCTTCTAACTTGCAGCTGATCAATGATCATTCCCGTCACTCTGCCAGCGATCTCTGCCCTCTGGTTCTGAAATGCGCTTCAGTCTTATGTATGGTTCGTCCTCCGTCTGTTTAGCATAGTCGGTAACCCGTTGGTCCGTCCGTCAGAGTCTGACCGGTCTGACCCTAGTCTAATCGTCTGTTGGACAGGATGGCACCACGCCTCTTCTGCTGGCGGCCGCTAACGGACACCTGGCCTGCGTCAAGGAGCTGCTGCGACGGGGCGCCGACCCCGACAGACGACGACAGGTGAGACTGAGACGGACAGTCGGTCCCGATAGATGGAATAGAGTTACGAAACATCGCAACTGACCGGCAATGGGCGCTCGACAGGCGAGAGACACACCGGACAGTCGGCCCCAACAGGTGATAAAAAAGGCACCGGACAGGATCCCGACAGATGGGATAGACACATCACAACTGACCAGCAACGGGCCCCAGACAGATGAAACACCGCAGTCCGGGTCCCCGACAGATGGGATAGACCCGTCACAACTGACCGGCAACAGGCCCTCGACAGGTGCCAGAGCCGCCACACGGCCAGCCTCGACAGACACCAAACAGGTGGCTGAAGCGCGCGGTTCGGCGCGACCCGTCGGCGCTTCCCACGGCGCAGCGACCGGCGTCAGACCGGCTAGAAAGCGTGGCCCGATTACCATGACAGTGCCTTTCCAGGGTGCCGGAAGACGCGTGAATGTGGAAACCGTGCCGACGCTAATCCACATACCGCGGGTAGCGGGTAGCCGTCCCGGGATCGGACCACGGACTAAGCATGCATATCGTGACACACATGTTACCGCAAACATTGCGCGTTGCGCCTTCCACGGCTCAGCGCCTAAAACGCACACAGTCGATCAAACACGTTAACGGGCGCGATTTGTGAGTCGGCCAGCGCCGACCGACTGTGATTGCGGCGTCATTCGCCCATCGGATTTCAGATTTCTGGAGGCGCGCTCAGCGCGATCCGGCCACTTTTGGCCGTTACTTCGGACTCAGTCCCCACGGCAGACGGCGGTACGTCCACTTTTGGCCGTTAGTTCAGCCCCGCGGCGGACGGCGGACGGCGCACAATAGACGTCCGCACACCGCCGGCAGTTTAGGCGCTAACCGCTGTCTCGGCTCATTTGTCAAATACCGGAAACACACAGAGCTCTGTCGGTGCGTTTCCAGAATCCAGAAGCTGTATTTTTTCTGTTATAAAACATACTAGTGTGCGGTTTGAAACACAGCTACTGCTTTTCCAGCTCGGATTTAATCAGACATTGTTGTTTTGACGGGGATTATGGGTTAATATTCCTTACGACTGTGTCAAATACGAGTCTTCCAACGGCTACGGCCTAGGTTATAGGTACTCGTACGTACCAATTTGTATGATACCAAATGGACTTTTGTTTTGTCCAGAGACGGAGACCAGAGACGGAGACGGTTGCACTGTTGTTTTGTCGAGAGACGGAGACGTCGCCGGTGTTGCATTTGCCGGACACCCTATGTTTGTTGTTTTATCGGTAGACGGAGACAGTTTTGCTGTATGTATGTTTGTTGTTTTGTCGGTAGACGGAGACAGTTTTGCTGTATGTATGTTTGTTGTTTTGTCGGTAGACGGAGACAGTTTTGCTGTATGTATGTTTTTTGTTTTGTCGGTAGACTGAGACAGTTTTGCTGTATGTATGTTTGTTGTTTTGTCGGTAGACGGAGACAGTTTTGCTGTATGTATGTTTGTTGTGTTGTCGGTAGACGGATACAGTTTTGCTGTATGTATGTTTGTTGTTTTGTCGGTAGACGGAGACAGTTTTGCTGTGTTATGTTTGTTGTTTTGTCGGCAGACGGGAACGGTTGTGCTGTATGTTTGTTGTTTTGTCGGCAGACGGGAATGGTTGTACTGTGCTTGTTGTTTTGCTGGCAGACGAGGGCGGTTTTTCATTGTTTGTTTGTTGTTTTGTCGACAGACGGGGGCGACGCCGGTGTTTTTCGCGGCGCAGGCCGGTCACGTGGAGGTGCTGAGGGCTCTGCTGCGACAAGGTGGAAGGCCCGACACGCCCACAACGGTGAGATGGAGGGGCAGAGGGATACGAATATGAGACAGAGAGGGAGTAGAAAGCAAGATTGTAGAAAGAGTACCTAGAGGCGGCTCGGCACGCCTACCATGCTTAGATGGAGGGCCACGTGAGATGACAGAAGGAGACAGACTAGCCTCAGAGGGACAGAAGAAGGGATAAAAAGGGGGTCAGAGGGGTAGAGCGGCACGGAGAGACCAGACACGACGTCTTGCGGTTGTATGGAGGGACAGAGAGGGAGGAATAGAGTCGGGAAGACAGAGGGACAGAGACGGCGTGTCAGAGGTCGTAGGCAGAGGAAGGGAAAAAGCTCGACGCGGAGAGGGAAATGGGCAGAGGTCGGGTCCTGAACTGGCCGGGTGACCGTGTTTCCACCGCTAGATTAGCGCCAACCTCATTCAGATGTATATTGTATAGGTATGAGCGATGCATATGTCGATATTGAATCTCGTCGCCCACAGGACGGCGCCACGGCCCTGCTGGTGGCCAGTCAGGGCGGCCACACGGTCTGTGTTCGCGAGCTGCTGCAGGCGGGAGCTGCCGTCAGCGCCCGGATGAAGGTGGGGCTCGGAACGGCCCACGCAGGGCGGTACACAGTAGCCCACCGCTAAAGTAATGTAGGGTTTTACCAATCTCAACGGTTGGTTTTGACTGGCGATTCTGTAATGCGGAGTGATCGAAAAGAAGATGTCAATAGCTAAAGTTGCAGCTGCAAGGGTGACGATACATATAAGCTACATTCAGAGTTTCATTGTAGTCTGGTTAATCGTTCCTAAGCTTCAGAAGCAGAACATACCCATGACTGAAACCGCACATTACTTCTGCTGTGGACTGTACCTACACACAGACCGCTCCCATAGGGCGGATCAACACTCAACCACGGCAGGGCGGAACGGCTGGTGATGAATCAGATAACACGCCGGTCGGGCATTGTTTTCGGGGTTCACGAACGGGAGGCTCAAAATAAATCCAACGGAATGCGCACTGCAGCCATGATAATGGGGAGTCCATCCGCGTTTTATAAAATAACCCGTCCTTTGTAAGCTTCTTTCTGCGATGGCCAGCAGCTCAACCAAAGTGCGTTCGTGATGACATCATCGTTTTTGAGAGGGTGCTTCACTGCTTATCACCTGGTGTGTGCCTCTATAGGACCGCTCGATGGCGCCATGTTCCTGGCAGCTCAGAACGGTCACCAATACCATTCACCACGAGGTGGCAGGCTGTGTGTTTATGTTTGTGTGCGTGTTTGTACCGCCAGGACCGGTCGACAGCTCTCTTCCTGGCAGCTCAGAACGGTCACCACGAGGTGGCAGCACTGCTGACCGACGCCGGAGCCGACCCCGACCAGGCCAGGTGAGAGCACACTCGATCAGACGGTAGAAGAGATCCTCAGCCAGGACACAGGGCAGGTGGGAGAACAGACCCTCCACTAGGCCGGGTCGAGCAGACCTGGCCAGACCATTGAGAACAGCCTTTCAGCCACGTCAAGCGGCGGAACAGAACCTCATCTGGGTAAGGTTAACGAACAGACCCCCAGGTAGAAGTCGGCGACGGAATGGGATGCTGATTGGGACAAACCATCAGCCGGGCCCGGTGGAACACACTATGGAGATTATACCCCCCCCCCCCCCGATAGGGCCATGCACGGGTGGACCGGCTCGTGCCCCACCTCTAGACTGACCCGGTGCGTCTTTACAGGGTGGACGGGGCCACTCCGGTGTGGATCGCTGCCCAGCTGGGACAAGGACCCTCATCCAGGCCCTGTAGATATATCCGTCCCCCAACAGTCTTCTAACCGGCCCGGCGCGTCTTTACAGGGTGGACGGGGCCACTCCGGTGTGGATCGCCGCCCAGCTGGGACACAGCCGGGTGGTGGAACACCTGCTGAGAGCAGGGGCAGCCGTCGACAGTCCCAGACACGTGAGTGGCAACAGACCGGCAGTCGGCGCAGACCCGCGAAACGTAGCCTAGCAGTCCTCTTCTCGATTGGCCCACGCACAAGCGAATCTTCAATGTTTCTTAGCATGGATATTGCATACTTTACGGGGTAGGTTCACCGCATAGTCAGGCATGCGGGCGCTTTGCTTACAGAAATTTCCATTCCACTGAAGTTACTATCCTTCCTTCAACATCACCCTGAGCCATCGGTGACCATCTCCGTGACAATCTGTTTCCTTCACAGGACGGGGCCACAGCGCTGTTCAAGGCGGCCCACAAAGGTCACGAGGAGGTGGTGCGCGCGCTGCTGCCCCACTCGCCGTGCCTGTCAGTTCTACCGGTAAGCACCTGCGATAGACGGCCCACACCGGCCGGAGCGGCGTCCGCGCCGAGCTAACGAGCGTCGGTCAACTCTCCGGGTTACGAAATGAAACGACATATAGGTACGTGGCGTTCACGCCCTTTTCCGTTTCTGCGTTCTGTATTCCGTTCAGCCCATTATGCCTATGAGTCATGCGTACTCTCAGATTGTGCTTGATCCAGAGGAACTGACCAGTCATCCCCTTCCCACAGAACGGCGAGTCGGCGCTACACGCGGCGGCTATGTTTGGCCACACGACCTGCGCCGAGCTTCTGGTCTCAGCTGGGAGCAGAATCGAACTGCGGAACGCCGAAGGCCTGACGCCCGCCGAACTGGCGCTCCAAGCCGGCTACGAGCGGCTGGCCACGGCGCTCGAGCGGCGACGGTGAGCGGCTTTCAGTGACAGAACGCGCTTAAACCTACAACACTGCACTATGTCGCGCTCATAAAGAGCCGTCATATTGTGCCGCCTTTAGTACGACAGTGCTGCTTTAGGGTACACTGAGCAGGGCATGTCCGCCGACGCCTTGGACGACTTGTCGGTGCGCACTTGTGAGTGTGACCCGTGCTTCCATTCGAGCATTCAGCCGGCGGCTGACTGGTCGGGTGTCGATGTGTTGGTTCGCGATCGTTCGTGCTAAATCGACCGTAGCGCCGCCTACTGGCTCGCAAAGGTCGGATGTGCGTGGCCGCGATACCAGCGGAATGAGCAGTTTTGGCCGCCGTGACGCGGGTTTTGGGTTCAGTCAGTCCTCAGACCTGCCCGACCTGCCCGACCTGGGGCAGTACCGGAGCGGCGGATAGCGCATCAGTTTGCAATAGACTAGCAGTGTTTTGGTCAGATAACCGCTAAGAATCCCATGGTGTGCGGGCGGAGTGTATGTGTGAAACTGTGACCACTTCTGCTGTTTGTTACTTGTTCAGCGGTCTATTCCCCTGTTCGAGCAATACAAGTGATGACGTTCACCGAGACTGCCTTCATTGACCAGCATTGACAACAAAAGTACAACTCCGCACGGTATTCGAATTCAATGTAAAAACAAGCTAAAGACCAGACTGGATTCGTACGGTCGCACGTCCAACCAACTGTTCGCTCGCGCGCCGCGGATCGACCAAATTCATCGCTGGGTCGGCCCCCCGTACCGGGCGCCGATGAGTAGAAATTCTAGCGCTACCACTCCAGACGATTGACAGCTCCGTGAACTCCTAACACGCTCCGTAATTCCATAACCACAGTCGGAAACCACCAACACGACCTGCAGCTCGCGTCTGGCTCCGTCCGAGCCGTGTCCAGCGCTCGGCCGGCCGCCCGGGGTTGAACAGAGGGCCGCACAACACCGCACAGTCTCGGCACAGTCGGCCGTCATAGTCCACTTTATTCAATGCCGTGTACACGTGTCAGCGGCTAGCTCCCTGGCCGGTGGCGTCGACGGCAGCGGACGTGCGCGAAGACGGCCGGCGCCGCAGCCGGCGCCCTGGTCCCGTCCCTCATCGCTCGCTCCCTCTCTCTCGCGCGCGCTCGCTACTCTGTCACGTTCACTTGGCGCCGCACGCGCTCAGGGCCGGTCGCACTCTGCCGTCTCCATGGATTAGCTGCTGCCGACGCCCGGGACACTTTTCAACAAAACCGATGGAAAATGTTAAATATTTGCAAACATGTACAGTCTGGCGGCGACGGCGGCCGCTGCGGCGCGATCGCCGCGCGAGGCGCGCGCTCCGGTCGGGTGGTCGGAGCGCGTCAGGTCCGAGCGGCTCGCGCGCGCGCGCGCGGGCGCGGGCGTCCCGGCGGACGGCCGGGGCGCCACTCACTGGTTGCTGGTGGCGGCGGTGAGCGGCGGCGCGCCGGGCGATACGATCGGCGAGCTGGGCATGCCGCCACCGACGGCGTCGGCCACCAGCGCGCCCGACACGGCGCCCGTCATCGGCGTCGGCGAGGACGACATCGACTGCTGGCGCGCAGAGTTCTTCACGATCGGGTCTGCGGGTGAAAGCAGGAGGGCACGTCAGATCGCAGATACAACACAGCAGGACATAGCAATCAATGGCAACGGATTCTCTAAGCACGTCCAGCAGACATGACACACGAATTAGGCAAATACTTCACATACACATCATTGTCGTTTGGGACAGTTATCAACAAAATTTAGTCGCTAAGGTGATCATATTTCACACACAACGATTTTGATGTAGCAAATATTCCAAGAAGAGCATAGGACGAGCAGGAAAATGAACAAATGAGGCACAAACCTCCCCCATTCAGCGACGTAATGGCCCGGAAACGGTCAGTTTTCCTTCTAATGGAAGGAGTGCCCTCCTCTGCGACACGTGTAAGTGCCTTCCAGTTAGGCCACGAGGCAGTCTAACGAAATTACGACGGAAAGGCGATTAGTCATGGATAGACAGGATGTCCCGTTTCAAGAAGGCAACGAGGAAGGTACCATTCTGAAAATAATTCACAGGTAGGTATTTTCAACAACTTAAGTATTCACATCGTTCAAGCTTCCAGGCTGCTTTCTGCAGTGCGAAATCCTTGCGATCGTCTCTATTCGCAAGCCGGTGCCAGTCCGTCTAACGGGACCGACAGGCGCCCACGTCACCTCCACACGAGGCCATTCAGGTGAGTATGACGTCAGCGATCCGATGACGTCACCTGCGGCGTCACCGACGCGTCTGACGGGCCGTGAGCGGCAGACCGGCGGTCCGCTGAGCGGTGCGATCAGTCGCCGATAGCGCTGTACATTCCTACAGGCCGTGACGGGCGCCGACGGAGGCCGGTCGTCGATAGCGGCGATAGTGCGGGCGAACCGGCGGCCGCACCGTCCGCTACCGAGCCGCCCGGCGACAGGCAACATGCGATCCTATACCCCAGCCGCTGCATACGGGTCAATTGACAGCCTGGTTGAACTTTTAGACTGGTGCATGACGAGCCGATGGCTACACACGCTGACCATTTCAGACCACCCGCGCCGTACCGTAGCAGAATTCAATGGAGCGTGGCTGCCACGTCGGCATCACTCAGTCCCCGTCCGTGCGGCGGCCGAGTGCCCGCGATCGGTCAGGTGTCTGAAGAGCCCGTCCTCACGGCTCCATTGCCACGGCAACACGGTTCGACGCCGTGTAAAAATACCGGCCGGGCGGGCCAACTTTCCTGTGGCTTCTGCCGGCCGTCGGTGTTTTCCTCCTTTCATTGTTGTAGAGCAACTGGTCCGCTGGGTATCGTGGTACCCCGGCGTGGCGAACTAACCGACCAGAGCAACCGTCGGCTAGTGTGTGCCCACACCGTATAGAGAACGGAGTTCTTTCAGCACTCTCCCCCTACTCCGCTTCATCAGCTGTAAAACGGATAACCCCACCCGCCACTCTAATACACGTAGGTAGACAGACCGAGACAGGGATGGATCTTGACAGACAAACGGACGGACGGACATACACAGGCAATATTGAGAACAGGTAATAGGCCGAGTCAGACTGACAGATGGGTGCGACTCACAGAAGTACTGGTGCTCCATGGCCTCTCGGGCAGTCAGCCGCTCCTGGTGGTCGTAGCGCAGCAGCTTGTCCAGGAAGTCGAGCGCCTCGGCTGACACCAGGTGCTGGTTCTCGCCGTGAACGAACCGCTCCCAGCGCTTACGGGAATGTCTGGAAACGGAGTAACGAAACGTCAGTCATAGAAAATAACAGCAAACCGAGCTGACACAAACGTACACAAGCTCAAATGGAGATAGCATAGCAGGCACAGTGGATTCGAGGTTGAACACGAGGAGATAAGTCATGGCAGGTAGGGTGTCCCAAGCATGCATGGGGAAAACAAAACCATGAAATATTTCAGGTGCTTAACTTTGCCCCGGTTCCACTATCATAAAAAAAGATTCTGGACAAGTTTCAGAAAAATCGGAGTATATTTACAGGTTGCGAGCTTGTGCCATTTCCTGAACTGAGATACATCATTATCACAATATATAGTAATTGAGCGACACGTGTTTGTCGGGATATCCTTTTCATGACAAGCTATATTGCTGATCGTTTCACTATTCCGTCTACGAGAACACTTTGTTCATCAGGGCAGCCTTCGTCTTCTTGGGCTGCGCCTGCCGATGATGATGCACCAGCTGAAGCAGGTATTGCTTCTGCTCTTCCGACTTGGCTGTGGTGTTGTAGCGCTGGATAACCCGCGCCCCGAAGGGCTACCGGCGGACCCTACCACCCGTAGGGGGGGGGGGGGCGTTTCGGCCCCCCCCCCTTAGATCTCGGAAAGTTACCGGCCGATTTTCAAAATTCAAACGGCGTTCGATAGCCCCACCCGGGAACTACCTTGTGACCAAATTTCATTGACCTAGGTCAAACCGATGACGTCACAGGTCAGGTCAAAGGTAAGATTTTCACCGTTCACAGGCATTTCAAGAAATGTGTTGTGAAATCGAGTAAATTGGTAATTCATTGAAAACCATCGATGGTAAATTGTTCGTCAAACACATACTTTGCTATCTGAGGTCACTGATACCAGGTCAGGTCACAGCGAGGTCAGGTTACCGGGGGTCACAATATGAAAGTGTCGTGTGATACATGTTTTATGGTCCATTTTACATGACAAATGCGATTATGTGGGTTAGGCAGCCTTTGGGGCAGCCTAGGTCACGTTTTGGTGAAGGTCAGGTCAAGGTCAGGTCAAATTAGGTCAAATATCAAAGTTGATATTTTGCATAAAATGGGTATCGATTCGATGCAGCTCGTCACGGGGAGTCTAATGGTGGTCTTTGTTTTGCCCTACGAGGTCTAGAATTGCCAAAAATTGAGTTTGAAAATTTGACGTCATCATTTTTGAAGTTTTTTTTCGCTATAACTTGGCCAAAAAACGAGGTATCGATCTGAAATTTGGTATGTAGATAGAAGACGGTAGGTACTATCACATATATTCCGGTTTTTCGAAACTCAAAAAACTTTTTGGATTTTTTGGCTAATATATCCAAAACAATGCTTTTTTTATTTTTGGGGATCAAAACTAAAAAAAATCAAAAATCCGAGATAGCAGTTTTGTAGCCCTGTCAATTCTACACCTTTTATGTCTTGATCATTTTTCTGTATCTTCAAAGCTGTAGGCCTGACAGGTCTTCTCGCGAAGGTCTTTTTTTCGGTCGAAAATGACAGAACATGACGTCATTCTGACGTCATTTGTGGCCAACCTATCATAGCCTCTGGAAAATTTTTGGTCACAATGTGTAAAATTGATGCCCGGAGGGGTCCTGAAAGTTTGGTGGCGATATCTCCAGCCGTTTAGGAGATATCGACCGAAAAGGACAGGGGGGCCGTTTCGGCCCCCCCCCCCCTACGGGGCGCGGGATAAGGGAGATTCCCCGTTCTGCGGCATCATTGACGACACTGAGAGCCCTTGCCCTTTGACTGGCCATGCGATAGGCTGGGTCGTCCTGCCACTCCTTGGTCTCTTTCGTTAGAAAGCCTTGATCCACATCCAGAGCCGTCAACAGGACCATGGACCTGGATGTTACGAAGTCTTCGAGAGGAACGTCCAGGTTCACACTTTTCCCCTCCAGTCGTTTCAGCTGTTTCCTTGGAGGTTTCTGAAGGTTAGCCACCATTTTTGACTTGACGGTGTCCTCGAGGCGATCATCGAAGAGGACCAGTCCAGCGAGATCTTCGGACATGTACCATAGGTGCCTGCGCAGGGCGTTCAACGCAGCATCGGCGGGAACACGATCCGCGTACCGCTTCAGGACACTGGCGAGCTGGTGGTCGTTGGACGGTGCGTACACCGACACCACAGCGTCGTGCCGGTACTTGGTGCAGACGAGAGCGACGAAGAGGGCCATGCGACGTATACCAATCTCATCTTGGTGGGTGAAGTGCAAGTCGTGCAGCTGGGGGAGGAAGATCGCCATCTTGAGGCAGTATATGGCTTTCTGCATCCACCTCGCCTGGTGTAGAGCTCCAGGTGGACGAAACTTCGGGGCACCACTCTTTCCGTCACCCATGTCACCGGTCAGCAGGAAGTGGCTGAGTCGAATGAGTTCCTCATAGTCCTCTCGAGGATGTTCAGATGTTCGAAGAACTTCTTTGAAATACTCCGCCAGTTCTTCATGGCTACTGTTGGCTTCCTCCGTGATCTCGTGGATCGTCACGGTTTCCGTTTGGTCGATGCATGGCCACTTCTTCTGAAACCTCTCGAAGATATCAATGGCGGGACCAGATGACTTCCCGAAGCAGGCATCGAACGCACTCTTGAGGATGACCTCGAAGATGTGATGCCGGCAAGCCAGCCACAGTAGGTCACGACCTAGACCCTGCTCGATGCGGATACAAGCTCCTCGGATCATCCCGGTGTTGGCTGCCGTTGTGTCAAACGAGAGTGCTATGATCTTGTGATCCAGACCTTGCTCCTTTAGCTCCTTCAGGACGGCTGTGGCTTCCTCCCGACCAGAACCATCCGCCGCGACTGGAACGCCGAGGAGGAACTCTGCATCCTCCCCGGACACGACAGCAATCCTGTTGACCTGCTCGTCGCGGTATCCGGCGACGTCCGGGAGCAGCTTCCCATCAAAATGGAGCACTAGCCGACCAGGAAGCGTCTCCGTCAGCCCTTTGATGCCCAGGGCCAGCTCCTTTCGATTCCTTTGTCTGTATCGATGGACAGTGCTCTCCGAAACTGGAGTGCTGTCGAGGCTTTCTCCAAGCGCCGTCACGGCTGCAGCAAAAGATGCCGTTGCCTGCCTCACTGACATATTCTCCCGGTCCCACGTCGCAGACAAATTCTTGTCTCTGATTGCATTCTGGAATGGTGGAGTTGCCTGAGACGTGCCCGGAGACTGCAGTTTTTCATTGGGAGACCGTTTCGGAGGGTTGTACTCCCAATCTGTGTCCGTGCCAGCACCAGTCTCAGAAGATGAATCCTCGGATGAGGGTGGTTGGACGGTGGCGCCAAGCTGGGCCATTTCTTTCTGACTCCTTGATTTCCGCTTCCGTTCTTGGGCCTGCCTCTTCAACTTTTTCGAGATCGCCTTCTCGTGCTTGGAGTCTCGACCGCTGATTGAGGAGGACATCCTGTCTTCCCTCTGGGAAGCAAGAAAGGCCTGATCCTCAGGCAGCACGGGTTCTGACTTACCGGCAATGTCAAATATCTCTTGTATGTCGCTTAGGAAGATGTCGCGATTCATTTTAATTCCATCAGTCACATGATTCTTTGATTTCTTTAGCTTGTTGTACCTGTCCAGCAGTTTGCTCATCTTCACCTTGGCATTTCGCATCTCCATTACTGGAATACTTGCTCTCTCGTACACTCGCATGACAGCTTCAATGGTCAATCGTGAGCTTTTTTAACATTAAGACCCTGGCTCCTATGGTAATGGAAATAGAGTAGCAGCACATCTTCTTGCGATGGGAGCCTTGCACCAGATAACTCTCTCATGGGGCACTTGTTCAACAGCCACAGCGTATCTTTGTTCCTGGTAGTAGCCATGTTAGGTATCTAAAAAACACAAAAAATGTTAGTTTGCTCGCAACCCCTAAAAGTGTGTAGATTCGCCTGAAATTTTGTCAGCATCACACCCAACCCAAGTGGAATGGGGGCGAGTATCAGCCGGTCAAAAATTCAAATAGAATGTTTTCTGGGACACCCTAATGGCAGGTCAGTAATAATTTCGCTCCTCGTCCCACCTGCTGCGTCCACAAGCGTCAGAAAACGGAACAACACTCAGCCTGCTTCAAAGGCCAGCCAAAGTCCAACCCGCAAGACTAACGGTCAGCCAACCCAAGAGCAGACAGGCAGTCGTCCCAAAGACCCATGGACAGCCCGCCCCCAGTGTCCCAAAATTTGCCAGTTTGGGTGGGAAGTGACATCCAAATCAAAATAATTTTCCACTCTCGCCTCCAATTTTCAGTGCAATTTTTCGCTCACTATTTTACCCATAAAGAACATCTGCGTGTACCTTTTTTCTCCCTCCATATTCGATTCGACTATCTTATAAATTAGCTCACACATCCTCAGAAATTCACAAATAAATTGTTGATCCCTGTTTCCGCTCCGTTTCTGTGCCATTCTGACGGGGAAGTGTCCACTTTCAGCCCTCTTTGTAGTGACGAATATTCCCCTCAGACACCCAAGCCAAAATATAATTTTGGAACGCTGCCCGCCCCAAGGACCAATGATCAGCCGTCAACCCACCCCAAGAACCAACAGTCAGTCGACCCAAGAACCGACGAACCCCGACGGAATCCGTTGATCTCCGACTCTAGAACAAACGGACGGTCCGCCCGCAGGACCAACGGCCAGTCGGTCCCAAGGACAAGGTCGCCGCCGGGAAGATGTCGGCGGGCGGAGGAAATGTAGTAGTTTCCGCGAGCCGACATGCAGGCCGCCGCCGCACCCCTGAACTCGCCGGGAGTCGGGGCTGGTCAGAATACACGAGAACGGACGGGCCAGTGCGAACGGCCACGGGCCAGGGAGCCAGAATCGGGCCGGGAAGCATATCATACAGTGGAGTGGTAGGGAAACGCTGTCATGAAACTTATCATTTTTATGGTGGTATGGGTTTTGGGCACAGGGATTGCAGCCATTGTTGCCTATCTTATCGCAGTGATTCATGACAACGCCAGGTATACAAATTAACGTCCCGTCGTGTTGCATTGCCTGATATAGCAAGACTTGTCCCGAGAGGTACTGCAGCCAACAGACTGCTCCGGACGTGGTTGTTATCTGAGGACGGGACGAGGTGACCACATAGTGGACCAGCCGCCGTTTCAGAACAGACTGGAGGCCAACAGACAGAAGTAATCGCCGAGCTAACCAGCGTAAATCGGGCAAAGAGAGTCATGCTTAGAAGCGCGGATTGGCATCAGACCGGCATAAATGGACAGCTGTTCTGTTTAAAAATGCAACACTCAATGAATGCCTTCAAACAAACACCCTATCATCCGCACACATGTCAAACTCGATAGTGATTCCCTGATCGACGATGCAACAGACAAGAGCATACCTCAACAACGCTTTGCACACATCGTCACATCAACAGCTCCAAGTTGTTATCCCTCAACACTATCAGAGAACCACGGCGCCGATAGTCACCAAAGAGCCATGACGGCCACAAAGATAGCCGCGCTGATAACGGTCCCGGCCGCGCAGCTGAGCCCGGCCGGCCGCGCCCGTCGAGTAGTGGGTGGGACGGGATGGCGGAGCGCCGACGGCACGGTGTACACCCACCGCCAGCCGTACCGGGCACGTAATCCGCCTACCCCACGGAGAGCCGGCGGATCAACCGGCCAGTGATGTCACACAGCACCGGGCCGAGCGGGGCTGAATGAACCAGCAGGGCGAGCCTCACCGGGCAGTTACAAACCAGAACGGTTTGAAAATACAAACGGCGACAGAACGAGCATGACACTGCAACGCGCGGTATGGTGTGTTGAAATACCTTCGAAATTCAAAGATCATCCGTTAAACATAAATATAACAGCTTATTCAAATGTTATAGAAAGTGAGCCTTTAATTGGAACTTTCATCGCACAGACAGAGTGCTCTGGATGCCGGCATGACCCCTCCCCTGAAGAGTCCCCCTCCACCCACACCCAGAGCCAGTGACGTACCTGCCGAGTATGTCGTTGAAGCGCGGGTCGAGCTCGATCTGGTACTTGTCCAGGTACTCGAAGAGCTCCTCCGTCCCCAGCACCTTGGCTATCCGCACCAGCTGGTCGTAGTTGTCGTGGCCGTGGAAGAACGGCTCCTTCCGGAATATCATCGAGGCCAGCATGCAGCCCAGCGACCACAGGTCCAGAGAGTAGTCGTACATCTGCCGGGGAACGCAAATTAGTCAGCCAGCCGCAGCAGACAGCAGTTACCGCGGTGCAAAATCATTCAGTTCAAAATAGCTGTTAAAATTGTTAGGCCTAACTAGTTTCACATCCGTGGCTCAAGCTGCTTATTGAGTCGAAATATTATCAACGTCTTGCGTCTCTTTTGAATAACAGAAACATGTATCTATCTACTTACAGTAATACCATTGCAGATTAAAAATTGTTTATCTAAAACTACGATAAGAAGTGCTGGATTTCTACTCGACCTTCAGGCCGTCTTGTTATATCTCAATACCCGGTCTGCAGAGCACTAGGGATCGGATTCCCACTGGTTCTGCTACCCTAGCTGTACACTTTTTCTGCCGGCGTGCGTGCGATCCGGTTACTATGATCACCCACCCAGGTCCCACTTCAGACCGGCCCATGGCAGAGCCGGATGATCATAGCCCCGGCCGGCCGCCCGACGCTCTACAATTGTTTGTATTTTTGTGTGCCGGCCGTCTCAAGGTCAGAGGACCGGCGATGATAGGACATGAGTACCGAGCACAATCGGATATCACCATTCCTCTCATTCGTTTTGAACCTTAGAGCGTTGGATCAGTACACAGACAGGGCACGTGACAGACAACAGACATAGAAGCAGATAACAGACAAACAGACAGATTGACACGAGAACAGTCTGATGCGGACGATTGACCGACCTTGAAGCGACTTCCGAAATGACTTGCATTTTATCATCGACTACTCATTCAATTACGACTCCCATATTCCAAGGAGCAAGTAATGCCAATGTAAAAATGTGTAATAGAGCCATAAATAAGTGCAAATACAGAGCAAAGACCATCTAAGTCGCCTCTGATACCCTAATCCGTCTATCGTGTGGGCGTGGCACTTCCTCACACACCTGGTAATCGACCAGCAGCTCAGGGCCCTTGAAGTAGCGCGACGCCACGCGCACGTTGTACTCCTGGCCGGGGTGGTAGAACTCGGCCAGGCCCCAGTCGATCAGCCGCAGCTTGCGGTTCTCGTGGTCGATCATGACATTGTGCGGTTTGACGTCTCGGTGCATGATGCCCATACTGTGACAGTAGTCGAGCGCCTGCGGGTAACATGAGCACACAATATGGTCAGAGGATGCACAGCGCAGAGTGCGGGGACGTGGGGACTCCCCTACCCACACACAACACGATAAGGGAAGTCCCTCTCGGCGTACATCGCACAATACGACGGAATACGGGGGATGTCCAACCATCGCAGAAACAAGCACTGCGGGCTGCACTGCAACATAAAACATATCCCTCGTATCTAGCCGGAGGATGTTTAGAGGAGTATCACTGTGCATATCCAAGGACGCCGTCGCACTGTGCAGCCCTCTGACCGGACGGCGGGTAAAACCGGACAGAGTTGGCGACATCGGCCGTCGGCAGGGACCCGGTCGGGTACGTCCACCCCAGCAGACACGCACAGCGGCGCACGCACCGTCCCGTCCGTTAGGCCGGCCAACGCCGCACAATGGGACGTTGCATCACGTGACCTTGACGAAGTGGTGAGCCTCCGCCGGGCGGGCACATGCGGGGCGGTCCGTCCGAATTGGCCGGGCGGCGGCCTTGGGATAGTGCTGCCGAGCCGGGTCGGTCGGTCGGAGTCCGTGAGGCGGGCCGCGGGTCAGGACAGAAGTAACGGACGGCTTGTGCCCCGGTTAATCCGGCAGATTGCATATACTGATCAGGAGAGAATGACCAATGCCACACTAAACCGACCGGCATCGCGCTAAGCCTTCAACAGTCAGTTGATAGATGCGACGGGGGTTGTGGGAACTGGTCTTCTTAAACTTATGTTTTTGAAGAATGAATGGTAAAACCAAACATGGTTCGCACTTTTGACCAAATCAAAGTAGGTATGTCGCTAAGCATGATATTTTGTTCAAGCGAAGTAGTAACTGAACATCTGGGTATGAAACTAGACTAGACGCATGAGCACAGTGGACCAACATGACAAATAGCAGGAGAAAAACAACACGAAATATTTCGTCCATGACTGTTTGCACAAGGCCCCAAACACCCTAGAGACCAAGGAACGCACCCTGGGGAATCCCACACCAGTCAGCCGCCACCAATACCAAACATCCCGCCCGCGGCCGTCATCCAGGACCGCCTCACCTTGAGCAGCTCGTAGAGGTAGTACCGGATGTCATAGTCGTTGAGCGTCTGGTACAGCTGCTTGAAGTCTGTGTTGTTGACGTACTCGAAAATGAGCGCAGGCGTCCGCGACACGGGGTCTTTGACCACCGCCTGAAGGCTGATCACATTCGTGCCGCCGCGCAGGTTCTCCAGGATCTTGATCTCTCGTTTGATCTTCTTCTTTTTTACCGGCTGTGGGGGCGCGGAAGGGGGGGGGGGGAGGTTGTCAAACAGCTGTGGACGGCCGTGGTGGGGCGGGGGAGGGGGGGGAGGCATCGGACAGTCGTCGCAGGGCAGTGGCGTTAGATCACCGGCAAATACAATCGGTTTCGATGTCTTACTGACTTAGATGAGATTTGAAACATACACTTGAATATCAATTGAGTGCAATATCATTATGTGTGAAAAATAACCTCAGTTCTAACAAGAACCATGGTGAAGTTCATCAGCTTCACAGTACACTCACCTTCAATATTTTTACCACACATTTTTCATTATTGGTTATGTTGATGGCTTCGAACACTTCACTATATTTGCCCCTACCTAACTTGCGAACTAACTGATAATCATCCTGTTGCCTGAAAAAGAAAGAAAATGACATGTTAACATGGCAAACACATTTTGACGATATCGGATTCATTCAAAATCTGTGCTTGTGGTATTAATGAGCAAATTGGGCAGTAAGATTTCCAAGCCTCAAAAGAAATGCAAAGCACCGCTGGCATGGGACCTCTACCCTGCAATACAATGAGTCCAAACAAAATCGGATCAAAGCAGCCCTCTTGGCGACATGGACACAGAGGATGAAAGAGAAATCAGAATCCCCAGTACAAGTTACTGCCTTATGTATGCGAGCCTAAGGGCTGTGCTAAGAACTTATGAGCGACAGTTGTCCACAAATAACATCCGTGATAAAAGGTTCAATGTTCCCTGACAAGTATCTGGGAGAGGGGAAGTGCAAGTCGACGCCCAGACACCCCATCCACCCCAGTTGGCCACGCGCCGGCGCCCCAGTCGCCACTCACCCCCAGTTGACCAACACACGAGAGTCCCCCTCCCCCCACTCACCCCCAGTTGACCACGTGCGACTCGTAGTCCCAGTACTCGCGCGGCCGGTGAGAGTTCACGTCGGCATAGACGCGCGCGCGACTGACGAGCGGCATGGCCGTCGGCCGGGTCAGCTGCACACAGGGGTCACCGCCGGCGGACGGCGGGCAGGCCACCGGACGGGCCGGCGGCCGACCGGCACTGGGCGGCGGCGGCGCGCGCGCGCGCGGACACCCGGCGACGCTGAGCAGGGGCGCGAGCCGCCAGACACCGGCGAGAGTCACCAGCTGCCGGCAGGGTGCCGTCACAGCTGACCGAATGGTGCGGCTGAGAAACAAAACATCACACGTCAACACAACGGGCACACAACAGTGAACAGGCACACCAAAAGATATTTCGATTTCATAGCAGCACACTAAATAATACTGACGTGCAAAGGGAAAACGATTACGTTAGATCAGAGGTCAGTACGTCAGGTCAGAGGTCACCCGAACGTAATTGGAATTGCCTTTACACAGCAGAATGGTCCCTATACATTTTGCACATTTTTAGAAGCTAGAGATATGAATAAACACAAGAATATCTAAATTAATAACACGCGTCTATAAAAAACACTTAAAAATGTTGCATATGAATGCACTTACAGGCTATTTAACAAATATTTTAGATCATATCAACCCCCATGGCATATCATGTCAATCTGGTTTGTGGTAACCCCAATCATAATAACAAGTTATTCATGGTTGGTACAGGTCTCGCGGGTTTAAGCGGTAGGTTTTGCACCTAGACAGTTTAGTGTACTTCAGGCTATATCTTCGTCGTCTTTAGCTTTTAAGTGTTGAAGATGCGATCGACTTGTTGGGTAACAAGCCGGCCATGATCGTGTAAAATGGCTTCATCGTAGATCGATTAGTTTCTGAGATATTACTGGAAATGTAAGAGTGCAAAACCTACCGCTTAATTTCGCGAGAGCCATACAAAGCGCATTGAAGAAAGAACCATGATCATGACACTGCTCTTTTCTGCTACTTCCATTGACTACTGAAGCTGTTGTTGCACAGGGATTAGTGTGCAATAGCAACTAACAGGCATAGAAAAATAAAAGCTTTAGCTATTACATAAGCGATCTGAGCCTGCTCCAGTTTCCAACTAGAATATATCAGCGGTTTTGTGATTGCTCAAAGTATGTTGGTTAGTCATCTTAGTTAAATACTGCCAATTAAACTTTTGCTAATAATCAAATACATGAGACATCCTTGGTATATCTGTGAGACTATGTATTGGATTTAAATACAGGTTCAGAGAAAAGAATGCAGGCTCAAATCTGTCCCAAATACAGAAAAGAGGCACCAACGATATCAAACTATGGCCAAGGCTTGCGAGTCAACAATTCACCAGTTAAAGCTTCCTCAGAGCCCTAACAGTACTATTTTTGACAAATCTAGTGGAATCTAGGTTAGGTTAGATTAGTGAATGGAAGTAGGATGGAACTTGGATTTATAGAACAAAGCAAGCTGAATAGTCATGAGCTGAGCTGACATGACGAATGTCCTGGATGCATAGTGTTTTGGTACCACTAGACATGCATATATTTCTGGAGGCCAATAACCGAGCCATCAAATACAATTCACATGAAGGCACAAATATTTAAAGGTAACTGTGTATAAAAGTGGTAAATGTGTTTGAAATCATGGTCAGCAGCAAGTTGAATTCACACAAAAAAACTCATAATGCCAGATAATTGTATAGCAGGTTAATCTATATGCTCCACTGGGCATATGTTTTGAGTAATGTCTGGTCCAGATTATTGAAAGAGGATGTTTTCACCACACTAGGCAGGGTTTGTCAAGACCCAAAAGATGAGTACCTACTGAAGTACTAAGTCAGAGGGACTGATGGCAGTCAGCCCATTAGAGTTGATGACTAGGAATGCTTGCAAAATGACCAACAGGCAAACAGTCTAATGGAGAAGAAGGAAAAGCCCCTTTCCAACAAAATCAGGTTGCATAGTTTGCATCTCTAGTAGTGTCTCTTTTGGCCAGATTCCCTCCTTTGGCTGAGGCCAGAGGGCTGTTCACGGGCCTGTGTGCGGTCGGACCGCACACAGCCTCCAAGCTCCGCCCACTGCGTCCCTACGCCAGCCTTCCGTCACCGCACACAGCGATCGCTGTGGCCGGTCGGGACTGGCCACAGCGGACCGTCCACCGCACGCAGCCGTGACGTCAGAACCGCCCACCCATCCCCTACCCCCACGCCTGCTGGACGCACCGCACACACCGCACGCAGCAGTGTGCGGTGCCCGTGAACACCCCTCAGTTTTGAATGTTATCTAAACAGTCACACCCTTCTATTTTTAATAATCAGCTGCCCATGAGAGTCTCAAGAATGGGTAGGTACAGCCTTAGACATTTGAATGAAAATAAATATCATGCTCAACAAAGCATGCAACGGGGCAGCCTTATGCACAGCATTGCTTTCTTCAAAGAACCCAAAGAACAATAGCTGAAATTGGTAATGCATGAATCAGTTTCATATCATTTCTTTTCCACAGTTAAACCCAATGGTGAAATAGAATCACAAAATGCTTTCAAGGTGCTTCAGGTCCTGCCAAAGCCCCTTAAAGGTAGTGTGCCACCTTTGAAAGATTTCCCATTTTATTTTTCCTAGGATAAGAAGCTTCTGTTTTTACCTAATATCGCAAAGAAAATCAAAAATGGGCCTGGAATAGTGCCTTTTTTGCCTAAAAGTTTATCGGTTTTGCGATATGTATAACAACTGTAGTGGGCTGACCTGCAAACAGGCGTCGGCAACAATCGCGAATGCGGCGCACATGTGACAATAAGCAAAGGTCATTATAGAGTTACGACGTACGGGAATGAGTCTAATCGTAGACAACAAAATGTCGAGCCTTAAACTGTAAGCCTGTATTGGTATTGTTTCTTTTATTTGGCTGTCGAACATTATTTATGGTTTGAAATATGATTTTATGTAAAATAATTGATATGAAAAAGGCATCTCTTAAGTTATGACCCCATTTCACCACACGCAAGTGGCAGAAATGACAATGATCAGCTGACGCATTTTTCTTGGCCGAAGTCAGAGCGCGCGGCCCGACGCACCACCACCGCACCACAAAGTATGAGCAGAAGTCGCGCCCAAAGCCAGGGCCCCGGTAACGTGAGGTAGCCGAGTCGGGGAAGCGTGCGCTGACCCAAGCCGGGGCCGCAGCTTTGGGCGCGGTCTACCGCATCCCCGCGGGCAGCCCCGGGCTATCACATGACACCGGGAGGACGCGCGGCCCCGGCTTGGGTCAGCGCACGCTGCCCCGACTCGGCTACCTCACGTTACCGGGGCCCTGGCTTTGGGCGCGGTCTACCGCACCACCTAACAGGCGTGTTCGAAACCGCAGGAGATGATGATGAACGGGTTTATCGAAACTTGATTGGATGAGCATATCGGTAATAGCGATTTCAGTGTGTGCATTTATTGTTCATAGTGGTGTGAAATGTGGTTGGGGTACGACAGACAACCCGTCGGGGCGAATTTCGCACTGGGGTACTCAAAATTTGAAGAATTTGAGACGTTTCCATGAGTTTTGAAGGTATGGATAAGTTCTAAAAATCCGGTTCTCCTTATCTGGGCCATTAACTCCATACGGTCCAGGAAAGCTGGCACACTACCTTTAAAATGATCCATGTAAAATGACATATTTTATACCACTGCGTAAATAATTAGCCTGGAATTTTAGCTCAGCATTTAACCTAGCCTTTTCTCCAGTTCCAATACAGCACGGTTGAAATCATTGTATTGGTGGCAAAGGCATTCCATGCAATCATTAATGGTTAGTAGGTACTTTATAGTCATAACTTGAAATTTACAGCTTGTTTGTATCCTAAAACAATTTTGCTAAGCTCTACACTATGCACAATATAAGTACTAAGTATGCATATTCTTAACAATCAAGCATACTTTCAAACAAAATGGCAAATCAATCAAGCCAAAAGTGAGCTTATAAGAGCTTTCATATCTTTCCATCTCACATTTCAAGTCCATATAAATGTCGGCACTGCAAATGATTTACAATACGAAATTCAACTGAGACCAAACATGTTTGTGTTATGTATAATGACGTGGAAGAAAAGGCCCTATGCAAAGACACTTTTCCAACAAGAAATCAGAGATAATGCAAAGACAAAGCAACATAAATAATGGAACCTTTTTGAGAAATATATAATTTTGGTGGTATTTTGTGTAGAGATGATCCAAGCAGTTCACCATTACAAAACAGACAAAAGATTTAACCACACCCAACCAAATAAGGATCACATGCAGTTTAGCAGACATGTAAAACATGCTAAATGGGAGATGTAGAAGATGATATGTTGGGTAGATACATTGGCAGAGGCCAATTAAACTGAAATTTTGCTTTGTATGGATGTCCAAAATTTGCAAACAAAAATCAAAAATCTACCAAAAATTGACATAAAGTAGGCATATACGGCGCACAAAATTAATTTGAACAAATTCAAGTCAGTCTTGGGAGAAACAAGTAGGATATGTGAATATTGATGCCACAAAAAACCAGCATTATTCAAATAAAGAGTATCGCAACCTTGCAATAAATGAATGCCTATAAATTTCGGCAAAAACGGCGCGAAAGCTGCATTCCGGAAGCAATGCTCTACTTTCCCTTGCAAGCCTATTTTCCGCACACATTGATTTCAAAAGCTCAAATTTACCTATTTTCAAGCAGATGTTGAAGAATGTAGTGCGCCTGAACCCCGAGGGAACATGAAAACGCTCCCTTCTGGCCCGAGGCCCGGCGCCCAAACACGCACGCATCAGCAAGATGGCTGAAAGATGGACAGTGTATTTTGAGGATTTTCTGTGAGACCTTCTATTTGTTTTTAAGAAAAGATAACTTTTTGAAATATGAAATTATAGTAACATGTCAGCAAAACACCTCGCTTTCAATACTCTACACAAATTTATAATATAAGGCAAAACGGCGTGATATCCGGCAAAAAAGGAATAGACTACTAAATTATGTCCATAAAGTTAGCGTCGTATTCGTATTCGGATTCAAATTCGAGTAATGATTTCGCTCAAAATTGGCATACAGATAGCCCATGGCACGCTGAGTTCGAAAATGGTGACCTTTTTTTCCTAGGTCAAACCGTTTGACCTTGAGAGGTCAAAATACTGCGTACCCTGTAGAATCTTTGTTTATGGTCCGATTTGAAAAATTCGACCACCAGTGTGTTGGTCTCATCCAGAAGCAGTAGCACATTTAAAAAAATCCGAGGTCAAGGTCATATGGCAAGGTCAAGGTCACTTTAAAAATCGCCGTACCCTATAAAATCTTCATTTTTGGAGCTATCGGAAAATTTCGGCCACCACTGTGTTCGTCTCATCGAGAAGCAGTAGCACATTCAAAGAAATCCGAGGTCAAGGTCATAGGTCAAGGTCAAGGTCACTTTAAACGTTAATTTTAGTCCCCGTACCCTGTAGAATCTTTGTTTATGGTCCGATTTAAAAATTTCGGCCACCACTGTGTTCGCCTCATCGAGAAGCAGTAGCACATTCGAAAAAATCCGAGGTCAAGGTCATAGGTCAAGGTCGAGGTCACTTTAAACGTTAATTTTAGTCCCCGTACCCTGTAGAATCTTTGTTTATGGTCCGATTTGAAAATTTCGGCCACCACTGTGTTCGTCTCATCGAGAAGCAGTAGCACATTTGAAAAAATCCGAGGTGAAAGTCATAGGTCAAGGTCAAGGTCACTTTAAACGTTAATTTTAGTCCCCGTACCCTGTAGAATCTTTGTTTATGGTCCGATTTAAAAATTTCGGCCACCACTGTGTTCGTCTCATCGAGAAGCAGTAGCACATTTGAAAAAATCCGAGGTCAAGGTCATAGGTCAAGGTCAAGGTCACTTTAAACGTTAATTTTAGTCCCCGTACCCTGTAGAATCTTTGTTTATCGTCCGATCTGAAAATTTCGGCCACCACTGTGTTCGGCTCATCGAGAAGCAGTAGTACATTTGGAAAAATCCGAGGTCAAGGTCATAGGTCAAGGTCAAGGTCACTTTAAACGTTAATTTTAGTCCCCGTACCCTGTAGAATCTTTGTTTATGGTCCGATTTGAAAATTTCGGCCACCACTGTGTTCGTCTCATCGAGAAGCAGTAGCACATTTGAAAAAATCCGAGGTCAAGGTCATAGGTAAAGGTCAAGGTCACTTTAACGTTAATTTTAGTCCCCGTACCCTGTAGAATCTTTGTTTATGGTCCGATTTGAAAATTTCGGCCACCACTGTGTTCGTCTCATCGAGAAGCAGTAGCACATTCGAAAAAATCCGAGGTGAAGGTCATAGGTCAAGGTCAAGGTCACTTTAAACGTTAATTTTAGTCCCCGTACCCTGTAGAATCTTTGTTTATGGTCCGATTTGAAAATTTCGGCCACCACTGTGTTCGTCTCATCGAGAAGCAGTAGCACATTTGAAAAAATCCGAGGTCAAGGTCATAGGTCAAGGTCAAGGTCACTTTAAACGTTAATTTTAGTCCCCGTACCCTGTAGAATCTTTGTTTATGGTCCGATTTAAAAATTTCGGCCACCACTGTGTTCGTCTCATCGAGAAGCAGTAGCACATTTGAAAAAGCCGAGGTCAAGGTCATAGGTCAAGGTCAAGGTCACTTTAAACGTTAATTTTAGTCCCCGTACCCTGTAGAATCTTTGTTTATGGTCCGATTTAAAAATTTCGGCCACCACTGTGTTCGTCTCATCGAGAAGCAGTAGCACATTTGAAAAAATCTGAGGTCAAGGTCATAGGTCAAGGTCAAGGTCACTTTAAACGTTAATTTTAGTCCCCGTACCCTGTAGAATCTTTGTTTATCGTCCGATCTGAAAATTTCGGCCACCACTGTGTTCGTCTCATCGAGAAGCAGTAGCACATTTGAAAAAATCCGAGGTCAAGGTCATAGGTCAAGGTAAAGGTCACTTTCAACGTTAATTTTTGGTCCCCGTACCCTGTAGAATCTTTGTTTATCGTCCGATCTGAAAATTTCGGCCACCACTGTGTTTGTCTCATCGAGAAGCAGTAGCACATTTGAAAAAATCCGAGGTCAAGGTCATAGGTCAAGGTCAAGGTCACTTTAAACGTTAATTTTAGTCCCCGTACCCTGTAGAATCTTTGTTTATGGTCCGATTTGAAAATTTCGGCCACCACTGTGTTCGTCTCATCGAGAAGCAGTAGCACATTTGTAAAAATCCGAGGTCAAGGTCATAGGTCAAGGTCAAGGTCACTTTAAACGTTAATTTTAGTCCCCGTACCCTGTTGAATCTTTGTTTATGGTCCGATTTGAAAATTTCGGCCACCACTGTGTTCGTTTCATCGAGAAGCAGTAGCACATTTGAAGAAATCCGAGGTCAAGGTCATAGGTCAAGGTCAAGGTCACTTTAAACGTTAATTTTAGTCCCCGTACCCTGTAGAATCTTTGTTTATGGTCCGACTTGAAAATTTCGGCCACCACTGTGTTCGTCTCATCAAGAAGCAGTAGCACATTTGAAAAAATCCGAGGTCAAGGTCATAGGTCAAGGTCAAGGTCACTTTAAACGTTAATTTTAGCCTCGTACCCTGTAGAATCTTTGTTTATCGTCCGATCTGAAAATTTCGGCCACCACTGTGTTCGTCTTATCGAGAAGCAGTAGCACATTTGAAAAAATCCGAGGTCAAGGTCATAGGTCAAGGTCAAGGTCACTTTAAACGTTAATTTTAGTCCCCGTACCCTGTAGAATCTTTGTTTATGGTCCGATTTAAAAATTTTGGCCACCACTGTGTTCGTCTCATCGAGAAGCAGTAGCACATTTGAAGAAATCCGAGGTCAAGGTCATAGGTCAAGGTCAAGGTCACTTTAAACGTTAATTTTAGTCCCCGTACCCTGTAGAATCTTTGTTTATGGTCCGATTTAAAAATTTCGGCCACCACTGTGTTCGTCTCATCGAGAAGTAGTAGCACATTTAAAAAAATCCGAGGTCAAGGTCATAGGTCAAGGTCAAGGTCACTTTAAAAATCGCCGTACCCTATAAAATCTTCATTTTTGGAGCTATCGGAAAATTTCGGCCACCACTGTGTTCGTCTCATCGAGAAGCAGTAGCACATTCGAAAAAATCCGAGGACAAGGTCATAGTTCAAGGTCAAGGTCACTTTAAACATTAATTTTAGTCCCCGTACCCTATAAAATCTTCATTTTTGGAGCTATCGGAAAATTTCGGCCATCACTGTGTTCGTCTCATCGAGAAGCAGTAGCACATTCGAAAAAATCCGAGGTCAAGGTCATAGATCAAGGTCAAGATCACTTTAAACGTTAATTTTAGTCCCCGTACCCTGTAGAATCTTTGTTTATGGTCCGATTTGAAAATTTCGGCCACCACTGTGTTCGTCTCATCGAGAAGCAGTAGCACATTTGAAAAAATCCGAGGTCAAGGTCATAGGTCAAGGTCAAGGTCACTTTAAACTTTAATTTTAGTCCCCGTACCATGTAGAATCTTTGTTTATAGTCCGATTTAAAAATTTCGGCCACCACTGTGTTCGTCTCATCGAGACGCAGTAGCACATTCGAAAAAATCCGAGGTCAAGGTCATAGGTCAAGGTCAAGGTCACTTTAAACGTAAATTTTAGTCCCCGTACCCTGTAGAATCTTTGTTTATGGTCCGATTAAAAAATTTCGGCCACCACTGTGTTCGGCTCATCGAGAAGCAGTAGCACATTTGAAAAAATCCGAGGTCAATGTCATAGGTCAAGGTCAAGGTCACTTTAAACGTTAATTTTAGTCCCCGTACCTATGACCTTGACCTTGACCTCGAATTTTTTCAAATGTGCTACTGCTTCTCGATGAGATGAACACAGTCGTGGCCGAAATTTTTAAATGGGACCATAAACAAAGATTCTACAGGGTACGGGGTCTAAAATTAACGTTTAAAGTGACCTTGACCTTGACCTATGACCTTGACCTCGGATTTTTTCGAATGTGCTACTGCTTCTCGATGAGACGAACACAGTGGTGGCCGAAATTTTCAAATCGGACCATAAACAAAGATTCTACAGGATACGGGGACTAAAATTAACGTTTAAAGTGACCTTGACCTTGACCTATGACCTTGACCTCGGATTTTTTCGAATGTGCTACTGCTTCTCGATGAGACGAACAGAGTGGTGGCCGAAATTTTCAAATCGGACCATAAACAAAGATTCTACAGGGTACGGGGACTAAAATTAACGTTTAAAGTGACCTTGACCTTGACCTATGACCTTGACCTCGGATTTTTTCGATTGTGCTACTGCTTCTCGATGAGACGAATACAGTGGTGGCCGAAATTTTTAACTCGGAACATAAACAAAGATTCTACAGGGTACGGGGACTAAAATTAACGTTTAAAGTGACCTTGACCTTGACCTATGACCTTGGCCTCGGATTTTTTTCAAATGTGCTACTGCTTCTCGATGAGACGAATACAGTGGTGGCCGAAATTTTCAAATCGGACCATAAACAAAGATTCTACAGGGTACGGGGACTAAAATTAACGTTTAAAGTGACCTTAACCTTGACCTATGACCTTGACCTCGGATTTTTTCAAATGTGCTACTGCTTCTCGATGAGACGAACACAGTGGTGGCCGAAATTTTCAAATCGGACCATAAACAAAGATTCTACAGGGTACGGGGACTAAAATTTACGTTTAAAGTGACCTTGACCTTGACCTATGACCTTGACCTCGGATTTTTTCAAATGTGCTACTGCTTCTCGATGAGACGAACACAGTGGTGGCCGAAATTTTCAAATCGGACCATAAACAAAGATTCTACAGGGTACGGGGACTAAAATTAACGTTTAAAGTGACCTTGACCTTGACCTATGACCTTGACCTCGGATTTTTTTCGAATGTGCTACTGCTTCTCGATGAGACGAACACAGTGGTGGCCGAAATTTTTAAATCGGACCATAAACAAAGATTCTACAGGGTACGGGGACTAAAATTAACGTTTAAAGTGACCTTGACCTTGACCTATGACCTTGACCTCGG